GCTGGTTCTAAACTCAAATACCAAAATATTATCGACGGACTCTAGTCATATTGAGGCTTTAAAGCTCACAGGTCACTGACCTGTTATGCCCCTTTAGTGACCTTTTGCTTGGGCAATGTGTCCATGTTAAAGCTGACTGTGTGAAGAGGTCTGAGGGTGCTTCGGGCATTGGGCAGTTACACCGTAGCGGTTCCGAGCCTCAGGTGAAATGTTTACCGACGTTTTTTTATTGTGTGGCTCTACCATCATTTTATATCTACATCCCGTTTTCCAAGATTCGTCCAGTCTCTGTCTAACGTTTGATTTTGTCGCCTTCAGTTTCGCCATAGAATGCACGTTTTCAGGTATTCCCAATTTAAAGTGTTCAGGTAAATATTCTAGTCACGATGTCCCCTTCAGATTTCAGTTGGACTCCGTCCCCCATTTCTCCTCCAATCTCAGAGACAATGTTATATCCATGGGTGGCAGGTGGCAGGCGAACACGGGGAGCTCACACTCATCCCAAAGCCCGGCGTCCCAGATAGTTGCCGTCTCACCCGTGGGTCCGTGGGCACGCCATCACGCCGGCGTTGTTGATGAGCAGGTGGAGCCGGTTCCAACGCCGCACCACTTCGGCGGCCAAGCTGCGCACGGACGCCAGGCTGGCCAAGTCCAGCCGCAGTACGGTCAGGGAGCCGCCGGACGAGCCAGTGAGCTCCTCTACAGCCCGCTGCCCTTGCGCTGAGTCGCCGACGGCCATCTGATGGTATCTCTGATGACATTAGCGCCGCGCTTGTGGAGGCCGCGCGCCGTCCCCAGGCCGATGCCGCTGCCGGCGCCCGTGATGATGACATTGCTGTCTTCCCAGGCCGATGCCGCCGCCGGCGCCCGTGATGATGACATTGCTGTCTTCCCAGGCCGATGCCGCTGCCGGCGCCCGTGATGATGACATTGCTGTCTTCCCAGGCCGATGCCGCCGCCGGCGCCCGTGATGATGACATTGCTGTCTTCCAAGCGGCGCGCCGAGAAACACGTCACAGCGAAGCGGAACATGGCAGGGTGGGCAGAAGGCGTCAGCTATCTCTGGTGACGGGGCGGGCATAGGGCGCCAGCTATATCTGGTGACATGGCGGGCAGAGGGCGCCAACTATCTCTGGTAACAAGGTGGGCAGAGGACGCCAGCTATCTCTGGTGACAGGGTGGGCACAGGGCGCCAGCTATATCTGGTGATAGGGCGGGCAGAGGGCTCCAGCTATCTCTGATAACAGGGTGGGCATAGGGCGCCAGCTATATCTGGTGACAGGATGGGCAGAGGGCGCGAGCTATCTCTGGGCAGAGGGCGCCAGCTATCTCTGGTGACAGGGCGGGCAGAGGGCGCCAGCTATCTCTGGTGACAGGGCGGGCAGAGGGCGCCAGCTATCTCTGGTGGCAGGGTGGGCAGGGAGCTCCACCTATCTCTGGTAACAGGGTGGGCATAGGGCTCCAGCTATCTCCGGTGGCCGCCGAGAGGTGGACAGAGAGCGCCAGCTATCTCCGGTGGCCGCTGAGAGGTGTTGTGCTGAGAGGTGCGCCGGTGAACGCCAACTGCCTGGTGGACACACAGAGGTTTGCTAATGAAAGCATTGCTAGTGGTCCTCCTGCTGATAGTTGGCCGGCTGGGAGAATCAGTTCTTCCTTTTATCTGCGTGCATATATGCACGTATTGATGTTTAAAACACTCTCCAACATAAATGGCTAAGCAACAGTCAGGCAGGGATACATCAAAGGCACGCATGCGTAACACGCCTTAGGTATATACACGCACATGAACATATACGCACACACACACATACGCACACACATATATTCATCAAGTTCCGACCAAAGTTTACGCTTCAAAGACGCGAGGGACAAAATGCAGTGTTGCGGAGGTGAAGCGTTGTGAGGTACGATGCTTTACAGGAGCCTCCGTCCTCACTCGCGGGGGAGCCAAATCAGTGTTCCGACGCGTACAGTGTAAACGAAGAAAACACTTGCCCTGTGTCTAAGAGGCAAGAGCTTGCGGTTCGCCGGTAACACGCATTCTATGAAGCAAGTTCATGGAGTGCTGTCGGTAGAGCTGGCTGGCAGCAGGTCAGCCCAGTCCCTCACGCACGTCCGAAATATGATCACATTAGCAATGACCGGAGACAGTGCGCTGCGCAAAAGCTCAACAGGATCTTCTGGAGGCGTTGTGTGTTTTTCTCCGACCCGTTGCCATGGATGGCGAGGGAATATCGGACGTGCGAGGGGTCCGACGTAGTGACCAGGGAAGGCAGAAGGTCAGGCGGGATCTGATGGCGCGCGCGGGACAGCTCGAGGAGGATACTGTTGCACGTCTTGAGGGGGGCAGATGGTGAGAGCCCCAGGCGAGGTGCCTGTCGAACACTGCGCCGGTGAGAGCCCCAGGCGAGGTGCTTGTCGGACACTGCGCCGGTGAGAGCCCCAGGCGAGGTGCTTGTCGGACACTGCGCCGAGGCTTCTCACAGCGGGGCTCCCAGGGCGACGGCTGGAAACAAATCCATATCACCCTCATTCTGGCTGCTGATGTCATGGAGCAGCCGTTATCATCATGTCTGACTTGAAATAACCACCCGCCATGCCCAGAACATCGAATTTAACACCCTGCTTGTATAGTTGGCGTGTCAATATTTGTTACAAAGATGGCATACAATGTAAACAAAAGCTACTCGCATTCAACACAACTTTCGCTACCTTAGAGGAAAACAGACAGGTAAAGCATGCATGGGCTGGTCTTGTCACCACAAATGAGCAACAGCGTTTTTGCTCTAAGATGTAGCTCCCACCTACGTTGACGTGGCTTGGCTCCGAGACGACTGCACGCTCCGATACAACAGCCAGTCCTGTGAGCCCGCACTAGTCCTAGTGTTCCAAAGTCAGGCCAGGCACCTGGCACGGACGGCGGACCTGATCCAGTCAGGCCAGGCACCTGGCACGGACGGCGGACCTGATCCAGTCAGGCCAGGCACCTGGCACGGTCGGCGGACCTGATCCAGTCAGGCCAAGCACCTGGCACGGACGGCGGACCTGATCCAGGCAGGCCCGGCACCTGGCACGGACAGCTGACCTGATCCAGTCAGGCCAAGCACCTGGCACGGACAGCTGACCTGATCCAGTCAGGCCAGGCACCTGGCGCGGACGGCGGACCTGATCCAGTCAGGCCAGGCATCTGGCACGGACAGCTGACCTGATCCAGTCAGGCCAAACACCTGGCACGGACGGCGGACCTGATCCAGTCAGGCCAAAGCACCTGGCACGGACGGCGGACCTGATCCAGTCAGGCCAGGCATCTGGCACGGACAGCTGACCTGTCACCGGACTGGTTCGTCAGTGCCGAGCGCCATTCTGGTTCTGATAGAGCACGGCGTGGCACAACCGTAATACACAGCCGTGCCCGCAGTACAATAGAGGTGAGCAACAGGGGTGGACATGAAGAGGAAGGCCGGCTCGCAGATGGCCGCGGGGCGGGCCGCGCTCCAACGGCACCGCCCACAGGCTGCGATTGTGTGGGCTGGTCCCACGCGGTGTGAAGAGACCTCCCCACCAGCTGACGACAGGCTGCGATTGTGCGAGCTGGTCCCACGCGGTGTGAAGAGACCTCCCCACCAGCTGACGATAGGCTGCGATTGTGCGGGTTGGTCCCACGCGGTGTGAAGAGGCCTTCCCGCCAGCTGACGGAGCCGCACAGGCCTTCAGAGCTAGCATGTAACCCTCAGAGCAGCGGCGATAATTTTCCAATGCTGAGGTAGCGCACATGTTTCGGCCGCCTCTTCCAGTCAATGCTAACAGAGCCAGTTTGATCTGTTCAGAAAGCTAGGGGCTCAGGTCCCCCCCCCCTCAGGATGGTCTGGGACCTGAGGGAGGGTCCCCTCCCCTCAGGTCGCCTCCCCTCAGGATGGTCTGGGACCTGAGGGAGGGTCCCCTCCCCTCAGGTCGCCTCCCCTCAGGATGCCCCCTCGCTTCGGCACCCCTGTCTGAGGGCGCGAGGCTCGAGGGAACTGGTCCTTTTTCACGTAGTATGCGCGCACGGGTGCCTCCACTTCATTTCGGACCTTTTAACACAGTAGATTATGCTTGGAAAATGTATAGGTGTTGACGCGATAGCCCACGCACTTCGCAGCTCGAGTGATCCCGAGCTATGGGGTTAAAGTCGCGCTTTTAAAGGGAATGTTCCACATTTGTATGGCGTTTCGAACTGAAATAGCCATCTTGACGACCTTTTGATGCAGCTTACGGTCATGTCATTTTTAAGACCCAAAACGATTTGGTTCCTGAGTTACACGACCGCAAAGTGTCAAAATCCTCACAGTTCCCCTATTTCAAAATAGCCCTCTGATAAATGACGCCATAGAAACGTCATTAGACACCCATGATATTATTGGTTGTTTGTTTATGTTTTGTTTATGATAAAAACCGTACGGCCACTGATTCATTCGCAAAGGCGATGATGCTGCACATGTGTTACTACAATGCGCGAAATGTGAATGGCTGTTATTAAGATTGTACTGCTGAATACATATCCCGAACATAAGCGTGAGCAATTTCGGGTTGTGCGGCATTTGTCGAGGGGACATTTTCCCCCCGCTCCCAGGCAGTGTCCTCTTTGCATCGGTGGGAGGTGCCGAACATAAGGTGCCGTGAGTGCGGTGATCGCAGGACGAAAGAAAATCATTTGACTGTGTTCGCGCAAGTACCTCGCTCCCAATCTGTTAAAAACACTTCACGTCGAATATGTCTGTCGTATCACTGACGTTTCAGCAATAAGCTCAGGGTATGTACATCTCAATATGGCATGCAGCCTCGAGTATGGCGTGCGGTCGCTTTCCATTGTTGTCACAGTTTGAGGAATGAGTATGCAATCACGGGCGTGTTCGGCCAAGGGAAAATTATTCAACGATTAATAATCTCTTCGACAATCATCCATGGAGATGTTCCATTTACACTCGACCAGTCCGGAAATTATCCCCCAGATTATCCTATCTACAATGGTTTTGTGGACTCTCGCAATCCTCTGCATTTAAAACATTCCATGGCACACTTCTTTCTCCCGACTTATTGTAAAGACGCTTCGATTGTTTCTACACGCAAATATGCATGGCAATAGTTTATTAACAAGTTTACACATGGTACAATATACTGATATTCTGATCATTGGGAACTGAAGCCCACCGATCGCGCAAGGTGGCACACTCTACCCAGCCCCAGATAAGGCGAACATTACACGAGATGATTCGAAAGCTCATTGACCTATGCTAGGTATAACAACAGTAAATTCTGGCACATATCCTTCTTATATGCGGTGCAGGCGACAGGAGAAGTTCCCAGCGCGAAACCCGATCGCTAGCGTCGTCGAGTCCTTTCTCCTGGTATTTACATCACAATGATATTCTTACTTTGCAAGGCTTTCGAACGGCAGAGATATTGCAAATACACAGCAGTAGGGACGGTTTTCGCCGGGGCCTCCTCAATTTGAGACACGGCTCACACTACCCCGACGCCTGGGAAGAATACCGATGCAGAGTAAAACGCCCAGGACAAGTCACGCACGAATAAAAAGGTCTCTGTTGAAAAATGCCTCACTAGGGTATGAATTCACATTTAAATAGTGTCGTCCCGTTACTAGGTGCCAGGCGTCTGTATGGCAGTCCAAGGGACAATGTCAGATATCACACAGCACGACGTCTGCCGGCTTCCTCGCGCAGCAGCAGCAATGATATCACTCAATAGGTGGCTCTGCCTTCGTGCCAGAGGGCGGCGCCACCGCTAGTCACGTGCAGCTCGACGACTGGGTGAGCGCGGCCAGCTGCTCTTCGCCCAGCCGTAGCTTGTCGTCGATCTCGCGCGAGTCCATGATCAACTTGGCCTTCATCTGAATGAAGTGCTGATAGTCGGCGTACTCGTCCGAGCTGAGGCAGTGCTGCAGGAACATGTTCACTTGCTGACTCCGCCGGTCAATATTCAGCTTCAGCTTACGCGCCTCCTCCAGCTGCTCGCTCAGCTTGTCTCGCTTGCTGATCAGGTTCGCCTGCCGGAGGAGGAGCCAGGTGAGAGTGGGGCCAGGTCGGCAGATTGGACGGCGCCGCAGCCCATCAGCAGTGCGTGGCCAGATCACAGCCCGCGGTGCGTCAACACCATCTGCGTCCCGTTTAACGTCAGCCTTTGTTTTGAAGTCGCCTGGTCCCATCTTCTGAGCGGACAACTCTGCGTACTTTCAAAACAGCCGGCTGCGAGGGAGGGGCCGAGGAGCGGCCGTGTGATCGAGTGCTGTGCGATGTTGTCCCCACCACTGCCGGCTAATCCGGCCCCTCACCGCCCCCACAGCCGGTCCAAGCCGCGACCCCTCTCCAGCAGTCAAGGACCGGGCCCGACAAACAGGCCGGCCAGAGCACGCACTGAGGGCAGCTGCTGCGTCAGCCGACGGATGGCCGTCACCATGTGCGCCGTTACCAGGACACGGACACGGACCGGGGACACAGTCACCAGGACACGGACACAGGCCGGGGACACAGTCACCGGGACACGGACACGGACCGGGGACACAGTCACCAGGACACGGACACGGACCGGGGACACAGTTACCAGGACACGGACACAGACCGGGGACACAGTCACCGGGACACGGACACAGACCGGGGACACAGTCACCGGGACACGGACACAGACCAGGGACACAGTCACCAGGACACGGACACAGACCGGGAACACAGTCACCGGGACACGGACACAGACCGGGGATACAGTCACCAGGGCACGGATACAGACCGGGGACACAGTCACCGGGACACGGACACAGACCGGGGACACAGTCACCGGGACACGGACACAGACCGGGGACACAGTTACCAGGACACGGACACAGACCGGGGACACAGTCACCAGGACACGGACACGGACCGGAGACACAGTTACCAGGACAAGGACACAGACCGGGGACAGTCACCAGGACACGGACACAGACCGGGAACACAGTCACCAGGACACGGACACGGACCGGAGACACAGCTACCAGGACAAGGACACAGACCGGGGACAGTCACCAGGACACGGACACAGACCGGGAACACAGTCACCAGGACACGGACACGGACCGGAGACACAGCTACCAGGACACGGACACAGGCCCGGTCATAGTCACCAGGACACGGACACGGACCGGGGACACAGTCACCGGGACACGGACACAGACCGGGGACACAGTCACCGGGACACGGACACGGACCGGGGACACAGTCACCGGGACAAGGACACAGACCGGGGACACAGTCACCGGGACACGGACACAGACCGGGGATACAGTCACCAGGACACGGACACGGACCGGGGACACAGTCATCGGGACGCGGACACGGACCGGGGACACAGTCACCGGGACACGGACACAGACCGGGGACACAGTTACCAGGACACGGACACAGACCGGGGACACAGTCACCAGGACACGGACACAGACCGGAGACACAGTCACCGGGACACGGACACAGACCGGGGACACAGTCACCAGGACACGGACACAGACCGGGGACACAGTCACCGGGACACGGACACAGACCGGGGACACAGTCACCGGGACACGGACACAGACCGGGGACACAGTCACCGGGACACGGACACAGACCGGGGACACAGTCACCGGGACACGGACACAGACCGGGGACACAGTCACCGGGACACGGACACAGACCGGGGACACAGTCACCGGGACACGGACACAGACCGGGGATACAGTCACCAGGACAAGGACACAGACCGGGGACAGTCACCAGGACACGGACACAGACCGGGAACACAGTCACCAGGACACGGACACAGACCGGGAACACAGTCACCAGGACACGGACACGGACCGGAGACACAGTTACCAGGACACGGACACAGGCCCGGTCATAGTCACCAGGACACGGACACGGGCCGGTCCACAGTCACCAGGAGACAGACACAGGCCGGGGACGCTGTCACTGGGACACGGACACAGGCCGGGGAGGCCGTCACCAGGACGCGGCACATCGATACAGACCAGCCACATATTCTGTCCGGGTGCACAGTGCCAGAGAGCGGCGACACAGAGAGGGAGGGTAGCGGCAGCGCGCCGGACCGGCGGCGCAGCGCGCGCCGGCTGGCGGCCGGCAGCCCCCCTCTGACACAAGCCGCGCTCGGCTGAGCGGCGCGCCGGCCGCAGTCAGCGCGCCAGACGCCTTGGCTGGCGGCGCGGAGGCGGGCACGGCGCGTCGAGGACGGCCTAACAGCAGCACTTGTGTCAGCGTCACAGATAGAGGCGGCGACACGCCCGCCCAGCGCGAGATGCCCTTTTAGTGCATTGCTCGAGTGACGCAGAGGCTTGCATATGACACCAGCTCGGGAGACGGCCCCACCCGCTCCTGTCTGCAGCCGCGACCTGGCACCAGCTCGGGAGACGGCCCCACCCGCTCCCGTCTGCAGCCGCGGCCTGGCACCAGCTCGAGAGACGGCCCCACCCGCTCCCGTCTGCAGCCGCGACCTGGTGGGGGTCACGCAGCCACACTCGCCGCCGTACCCGTTCGTCGACGTCCTGCAGTCCGGGCGAGACGAGCGCGTTCTCGGCGCGCGCCAGCCGGCCACTGAGGCCCAGTAGCAGGCTGGTGATGGTGCCGATCTGCTCCACGTATGTGCTGTACTTGTCAGCCTCGCTGGGCAGCGCCAGCTGCCCCACGCGCGCCGTCACCGCCTCACCCAACGCCACGTTCGTCTCGATCTCCTGGCGCACCGCCTGCTGCTCGGCGCGCAGAATCTCCAGCTTGCGCGCGATTCGCGACGCCAGCTCCTCCTGATGGAGAGAGGGCGAAATGGTCAGCACGAGCTGCGAGGCGTCACCGCTTACTCCGCGTCCAATAGTCTGTCCGCGCGACGGCCGTCAGCTGGTAGCTCAGCGTCACAGCACGGAGTCGTCCCAAGATGTGGCGGTGCCCTGTGCGGATGTCATTACACGCCGCGCGGGCCGTTGGCAGTATACAATGGCAGTCTGTTTCGCCGAGTGACTGTGAAGTCATTGGCCCAGCGGCGGCGAAGGCAGCCTCGTCACAGCTGCCTGACCGCAGACGGGCGTGAAGGCCGACTAACAACAGTCCATTTGCACGGCTTGTTGAATGGTTTTGGTCACACGAGACAACACGGCTCCATGTTTTACCGCGCTGCAGACATTGGCAGTTTTGAAGCTTTGGACAGCGCGCTCCTGTGTTATTTTTGGACAGCGCACTTCTATCTTACCTTTGGACGGCATGCTCCTGTGTTACCTTTCAAAGCGGCCCAGTTATCCATAGCTGTTTATTGTCTTTGCATCATTTGACGCATGACAGGTGTCAGGTCCCAGGCATTGTGTGCATTCGATGAGAAAACACCGGACGGCGAGCCCAGCTGCGCACGGGTATTCCAAGTGACACATACAAGCGTTGAGCAATGCCCTTAGCCAGGAGGACCAGTAGCCAGTGGGACTCCCGCCGTTGCACTAACTCCAGGCCCGACCTCAGCAACAAATGGGAATCGGAGAGAGACCAGCGCTGGCCGTCGCGCGACACCGCCGCCCGTCTGCCGTCTGCGTCCGAAGGTCCCGCTGACCGCTTCAGCCCTACCTGCTGTCGCTTGACCTCCTCCACATTTCTGACGTTCTTGAGGCTCTGGTCGGCAGACACGTCACGGCCGTATTGGGTCAGGAACTTGGCCTTGGAGGCGGACGTGGTGAAGTAGGCCGAGTCCGGTCGCAGCGGAGACGTCTCAGCAGACCTGCCGGGCGGGCGGGCACAGAGCGGTGATTTGGCCGGTCGCGACAGCCAGCGACACCACCAGGTCAGGGCGAGGTACGACCACCAGGCGACCCGCATAGAAACAATGGAAGTGAAGCAGCCGTCGCAAATGAATGTCCCAGGCCATAGGGCGCGTCTATCACATGTCAGTTTTAAAAGTAAGCGTCAAATGTCTACCTCCGATACAAGCGTTTACTCAGGACATAATCAGCGCAACAACTAAAACTTAAAAATCGCTGGTAACGCGCAGCAGGTGAACAAAGCTGCCAACGAAGTCGTCTACATCCGTAAAGCTAATTCACGTTTCAATACAACACATATGCACCACAGACGTGTGTCCCCGCCACAGCGTGCTGTGATGACACTCACGACACGCGCTCCATGGCTGTCCGGCTGACAGCACTGGACGAGCGCGACACAGCGTCCGACGGCGCCGCCGTCCCGGCCCGCACTCAGCCTTCCCTCGCCCTCACCCTCGCCTCCCGGGCGTCAACAGGCGTCCGCAGCACGAGGGTGGCCGCCGCCGTGGGCGCACCGAGCACGGGCGGCGCTAGGCACGCGCACAGCGCAGGCGGCGGGAGAGGACTCCGGCCCACTTGTGTGCGGTGCCTGCGCTCAGCACAGGACGGCTACACTCGTGCGGGTCGGCGCAGGCGCGGCGTTCAGTGCGAGAAGGGGGCGACGCTGCCTGCGCGCGCCGCCAGCCGCGCCGGACGCGGCCGCTTAGGCCAGGTGCCGAGCCGGTGCTCCCCCCTCCCCCCTCCCCCGCCCCCGCCGCCGCCGCAGTGGACAATGGCCGACAGACGATTACGTGTCGGAAATTGATTTCGTTGGCCGGAGGCAAACGCGTGGGACCGGCCGGCTGACAGTGGTCACGACGGCATCGGGTAGGCGAGACGGCCGCACGGCCACCAGCCGTGACCACGGTGCCGGCCCGGCCGCCCCGTCACCGACAAGCGGGGCGGAAGGGCAGGGCAGCTCCTGACCAGCGCGCGGCCCGCCCACCCGCGCGCTCCGGCCGTGCGGGCTGCTGCTCGGACTATCGATCCGGCGCCCCGCCGCGTTGAAGGGGGGGGGGGGGGGCGTGCGCAGGTGGTGTGCGTCACCCACCGGCCGTGTCCGCATCCCGCGCACGCCGACCAATCGTTCCGGCCGACCGACAGTGACGTGTTTACGGCGGGGAGACGATACCAACTGCGATTCGCAGCCCGCCCACCGGCCGTTCCATGTCTACAGTGGGAAAGCCACGCTGTCAGCCGGCCCAAGTGACCACACCGATTATGATCGGCCCTGCACGTACTGACGGTGCTACGGAGCGTGTAATCAATCTTGTGGCAGATGTGTCCAAGGTGTCACGATTGCCCAGTGTGTGTGTGTGTGTGTGCGTGTGTGTGTGTGTGTCATTGGGGCTTTACGGCGCACTCAGCTGCTGAGGCTATATGGCGTCGCCTGCCTCTCACCCTGGCAGGAAGGGCGGGCACCTCGGGGAATCGAGCTCCGTACCACTGGTTTCCCAGACGCGCAGTGGTTAACGCAGACGCCTTAACCACTACACTACTGGCACCCCCACGATTGTCCAGTGAATATTTACACTGTGCACGTAACTGGACTCCTAGCCTCAGCACCAAAAGTTGCCGGCTACAATGATGATTGCGCTGCTTATACCGAGGTGTTCCTATATCACCCCATACCCGAACCAGGAGACAAACTGGCTTGCTCGTGTCTCGTGACTCACGATTTGTCCGGCGACGCGGAGGGCGAGAGGGCCGGGGCTGCGCTGGAGAGACTGGTATGACTGGCCTTCCGTGACCCCGGCTGGGTCAGCTGAAGGTCAAACAGTCCCTGGATGTAGTGGGCGCTGGTCCGATGCTCTGGGCCCGGCACTGGAACCAAAGTCAGCGTCAGACACGCGCCACAGAACAGCAGGCACGACAGTTTGCACTCGATTCGCCGAAATAAACACCCAGTTTTGGAGCCAGCTGTCGCAGTAGTATTCTGGGACACTCCTGCGCGAGCTAACGGCGAGTGACAGTGGCCCAGAACGGCGGCGCGTTTCTCTCATCTCCGGCCTAGGCCGCCGTCGGACAGCTGCCGGCTGGCTGGCCGGCCGGCCGGACGGACAGTCACGGCCCCACTTCACCTGCCACGGGCCGGCTACAAATGTCGCCGCGCGCCCACCAGCCGCCGCTGGCCGGCTCGAAAATCACGGCTACATGTTGCCGTCGGCGGCCAGGCACTCGCGGCGTGCCGGCCGCACCGCCGGCCGCGTTAAGCAGCGTTGTTTATTTTTGGGGTGCCGGGCGGCGACGGTCAGCGGCTTAAGGACCGGACCACGCCTACCAGACCGGGAGGCCGACAGTGCCCTCCAGAGCAGCATGGCACCGCACGACACTTCACGACCGGCGTCCGACCAGCGAGACCACAACCCGCTCTTAGCCAGGCTTTTCAAGGGAGGAGTTGGCGGGGCGAGCCTGTTTTCCAGGCCATTCCTCTGAAACGACCCGACGCAGAGAGAGAGAGAGAGAGAGGGAGCCCGCCAGAGTGGATTGCAGCAGGTAAAAGAGCCCGTTGTTCATCTCCAAGGCCGGCGCTTGTCCAGTCAACAAACTAAGTGCCCAACCTTAGCGAGCGGTAAATTTGCGTACGCTTGTTTAAGGCCGCGCCTGGCAAGTTCGGCCATCTGACACTGGTGGTGCGTGAACAGTGACTTATCGTCTCTCTTAAGAACGCGCAGTGGAGCTGGTCTGGCAGGACTTGCACTGAGCCTGGCTACGAGCGGCTGGGTCCCACTGGACGGCGGCGACAGCGCTGGGCGGCGCCGCCGGAGCGGCCGCAGCTCGCGTGGCCAGCTCGGCCGGGGCCGTCACGCCAGGTGTGCATTAACGCCAGCACCGGACGCGGCTAGAAGGTCGCCGCCTCTGCGCACCGGCGGACGTGGCCACGGACAACAGCCGCTGCCGCCGGCCGCGCCGCGCCTCGGCACGCACCGTCACCTGATACCGCGCCAGCCGGCCACCCTCCGGCGGGCGACCGACGGATGCCAGCGGCGCCGGCCGTCCCGACGGACCGGCTGGACGCCGTAACGCCTGCCACTAGCAGCCGCGCGCACTACCGACCCGTTCACCTTGTTATCTGGCCATCAGCCGTCGGCCCATTAGCCTGCGTTCCGTGTCACCGTCCGCCCAACAAAAACGGGCTCTGCAAACACGGTGCCGATCGGCCCGCCCCCACAAAAACGGTCGAGACCGCCTCGGCCCGGCGTCCGCTCTGAAGGCGGCAATCAGACGCCAAAAACTGACCCACATCGTCCAATGGGCATCCCGCTTTAACATCAGTCAGTATTTTATCAAGGTCGGCGGCGGCCGGCCGGTTTTTGCGGTGGCGTGCAGAATACGCAACGGGACAGCGGCCGTCTGGCGCCGCGTGCTCGGGCCAGCTATAGCCGGCCGTGGCCACCGTGCCAGGCGGTCCAGCCCACCCCGCCCCGACCCGCCCCGCCCCGGTCCCAGCCACTCACCGAGCAGGTTTTGCAGCTTGTTGTCTACGGCGGCGTGCGTCACGAAGACGCGGGACAGCCGCTCACACTCGAGCTCCTCAGGCAGCTTGCGTCGACCGATCTGTGGCCGACTGGGCGGAGAGGCCGGAGGGGAGGCCGGAGGAGAAGCCGGAGGGGAGGCCGGCGGGGAAGACGGTGGGGAAGCCGGTGGGGAGCCCGGAGGAGAGGCCGGCGGGGAGGCCACCGGTGGCAGCGGCGGCGGTGGCGGCGGCGGCGGCGTCGTCTCGGCGGTCGGCGTCGCGTCCCTGCTCACCCGTTCCACGTCACTGGCTGGTGGCCGCGCCGGCACCGGCGCCAGCTCGGCGCTATCAGGCGCCGCCGCCGCCGCCACCGGCAGCGTCGGTGCCGGCGCTAGGACGCCACTCGAGTCCGTCGGCGTCGTCACCACAGGACTACAGTTTGGCTTGATGTCGCTGTACTTCTTGTATGCCGCGAAGCGCTCGTTCCTGGCCTCAGCGATCGGTGACCGATATACGGCAGACGGGGGCGAGGCCGTGTCCTGGTCGTTGCCAGACGCGGCGGCTGGCCGACTCAGCAGCTCTAGGCTGTACTGGCGGCGCGGGTGCGACACCGGCTCCACCACGGCGCCGTTCTGCTCGCGCACGTTCTCCTTGTCCTCCTCGGCGCCGTCGGTCAGCAGCTCTTTGGCGCGCTGCTCGCGCGCGCGGAAGGCGCGCAGTTCCGCCTCGGTGAACACCACCGTGGTGCTGGGTTGGCGCGCAACTGTCGGCAAAAAGGCGCCCGTCATTGGGCTGTTGACACGGGCCGCGGCCAGTGGCATCTGTCATCGGTGGCTACCGGTCACATCGGCTTTAAGAAGACGGGCCGAGATAGTGAGTGGATTATGTAGGCGGTAGAGCAGGTCTGCTGCTCACTGTTCGGGACCGCTCCCGATGGCAGGTCCGAGCTGACTAGGAGCGGGCTGGGCTGTCGCCTCCGGCGCCCGGGGCCACTGACGGCGGTTGTGCGGCGGTGGCGCCGGCGTCCGCCCGTCGACGAGCGCCGGCGCCAGCCTGAGGCCAGAGGCCTGCTCCGCGCCCAGTCCGGCTCATTGCGTCACGACCGCCCGTGCAGCCGGCGGGAGGGGGAGGGGCGGGCAGCAAGGGAGAGGGGTGCGCCGCCGCTGACCCATATACCGGCCGGCCATCCTGGCCGCCTCCCGGCGCGGCGGCCGCCCCAGAGTGGCGCAGCGGTCGCGGCAGGACGCCCGAGCCGGTTCCAGCCGACCAGGCCGTGAGCGGGGCCGGCTCCCCGGGCTCCGGCTCCCGGGCTCCGGCTCCCCGGGCTCCGGCTCCCCGGGCTCCGGCTCCTCGGGCTCCGGCTCCTCGGGCTCCGGCTCCCGGGCTTCGGCTCCCCGGGCTCCGGCTCCCCGGGCTCAGGATCCCCGGGCTCCGACGCTCCGGCTCCCCGGGCTCCGGCTCCCGGGCTCCGGCTCCCCGGGCTCCGGCGCGCCGGCGCTCCGGCTGCACCCATCACCGCCCGCAACAGGCGGCTTTCTGACCGCGACCGGAGCACGGTCAGAGCGTGCAGGAAAGGGAGATCAAACGCGGCGCATGTCACGACCGGAGACCGGGCAAGGCACCAAGCCATTCAGACGTCATGGCAGCCACGGGCGAGCGGACCCCCGGACGAGGAAGGGGAGGGGGCACAGCGCTCCGCATATGGCGGTCACACGGGCTGGACCGCGCAGCACGAGCAAAACGCATGGCACGGTACTGTACGTCCAACACAGCGCCAAGAGTGGCCAGACAGACCACACGTAGCTGGAAAGGTGATGAGCTTTTGACATGAAAGAATGGAGCGTAGCTTCAATCAAGCGTGAGCCACCGACAACAAACGACCTGTTCAGCATGGCTGGCCCTTCTGCGGTCCATAATGATGATGGACGAATGATAATGAAAAGATGCTTTAGGACCCGGTGTTGCTGCTTCCCACTATTCACGCTCAAAACTCGGCCGACCGTTAAAGAGCGATGATGTTTTAGGTTTGCCTCACAGCACTTAACATGTGTCTAACCCATCGTGACTTGAAGATTAGGAAATTCTGATGGAAATGATATTCCCAGCACAGCGGCGCTTCCTCTCCTGCCATACCATGCGCCTTGTTTGCCGTGAAGAAAAGATCCAAAGCCAATGAAATGTGACACCGTCGTGGCCACTTCTGTTAATATATGAGACATTTAATACCTGCATGGGTGCAGTTAAGCGGACATTAGACGCAGTTACAAAGGCATGGGATGACAACACCAGGGACATGTTACACAACAAAGCCATAGGTGAATCTGAGCTGTTGCGTTTTTCCCACGTTAGGGGCCTGGCCACCTATTCCGTTGGTCGCATTCTACCCAAGATTTTGTTCAGCACGCTCTAAAACCGGTTCCCCTAATCGACATCTGTGGGCCCGGTATCGGGGAGATTTGGTTCGAAATTGGGCCGGACCAGCGGCATCAGGGCGGGGGGGGGACCAGCGGCATCAGGGCGGGGGGGGGACCAGCGGCATCAGGGCGGGGGGGACCAGCGGCATCAGGGCGGGGGGGACCAGCGGCATCAGGGCGGGGGGGGGGGACCAGCGGCATCAGCGTTACAAATGGCGCCGGCCGCGTGCCGGGAGTGCGCGCGGCGCGCAGCCGGCGCCGCCGTCCGGGCCCACCGCCCAGCCAAGCCCCGTAGCTCGCTCGGCCACAGCCGCCGGCCTGCCCGCCGCCCAGCCAAGCCCCGTAGCTCGCTCGGCCACAGCCGCCGTCCGGGCCCACCGCCCAGCCAAGCCCCGTAGCTCGCTCGGCCACAGCCGCCGGCCTGCCCGCCGCCCAGCCAAGCCCCGTAGCTCGCTCGGCCACAGCCGCCGTCCGGGCCCACCGCCCAGCCAAGCCCCGTAGCTCGCTCGGCCACAGCCGCCGTCCGGGCCCACCGCCCAGCCAAGCCCCGTAGCTCGCTCGGCCACAGCCGCCGGCCTGCCCGCCGCCCAGCCAAGCCCCGTAGCTCGCTCGGCCACAGCCGCCGTCCGGGCCTACCGCCCAGCCAAGCCCCGTAGCTCGCTCGGCCACAGCCGCCGTCCGGGCCCACCGCCCAGCCAAGCCCCGTAGCTCGCTCGGCCACAGCCGCCGTCCGGGCCCACCGCCCAGCCAAGCCCCGTAGCTCGCTCGGCCACAGCCGCCGTCCGGGCCCACCGCCCAGCCAAGCCCCGTAGCTCGCTCGGCCACAGCCGCCGTCCGGGCCCACCGCCCAGCCAAGCCCCGTAGCTCGCTCGGCCACAGCCGCCGTCCGGGCCCACCGCCCAGCCAAGCCCCGTAGCTCGCTCGGCCACAGCCGCCGTCCGGGCCCACCGCCCAGCCAAGCCCCGTAGCTCGCTCGGCCACAGCCGCCGTCCGGGCCCACCGCCCAGCCAAGCCCCGTAGCTCGCTCGGCCACAGCCGCCGGCCTGCCCGCCCCGCCTCTGACGGCAGCCGGCCGCCGCCGCTGCCGCCGTCGCGCGTACCTTTGCCGGCGCCGTCAGCCAGCCGGCCGACGCTGGCGGAGGTCTTCAGCCGAGGTGAGGCGGCCAACTCGCCGCGCGGCGCCGCGTACGACACACTGCGCCCCACGGCCGGCGGCGGCGAGGCCGGCTCAGCCCGCTGCGCTGGCGGCGAGGGCGACATGGTGCGCCGGTAGCGGCCCTCGTAGCCGAACTTCCAGTCGCGCCGGTGCGCCATGTACGAGTCCTTGTGGTAGGTCCTGCCGCGGGGAGCGATCATTAGTGCGCCACTTATTAACATTGGGGTGCATCAGATCGGGGTTAAAGTTCACGTTACACGGCTCCCACTGTGGTTTATCATGGACAACGAATACACCTCGACAGGGATAAAGCTTTCTTCAGTTCATTGTGGGGACGAACGGCCATTTTCTGAGAGACAGAAGCTGCTTATGTGTTATAGCGACTTGCGGGCGATTTGGTCCCAACCTGAGGGGGGGGGGACGGGCGGGTCGGAACAAACATGGTGCACGGTCCACCCACCAGACACAAGGGTCCGCCCACGCCGATCACCAAAACAACAAGGCGTCATCGCGCTAGCTCTACACGGCTATCCCAGTGCAGTGTAGTACAGTGCAGTCATTATTCGCCGACGGCAGGGCGAGGGGGCGGTCTGGACGGTGCGGCGGACACGTCATTGGCCGCCGCGGGTGTCGATCCGCCCACCGGATCATACGTCAGCGATAGCGGGCAGCGGCGCAACGTTAACGGATGCTCGCAAGCCCGCCAGAAAAACACAGCACGCCGCACGACGGTGCAATGCTGGCGCATTTGTATCAATGTGGCGCAATCACCGTACAGATGCAAAAGGTGACCGCGATTCGCCCACGGCGGTCGGTTGGCTGGCGCTGAGGGCTGCACTGCGCCGGTCTGGAACCGGACGGGAGGCAGGGCGACAAAGGGGCGGGATACAGGGCGCCACAGGGCCGAGAGGCAGGGCGGCGCAGAAGCGGAAGGCAGGGCGGCGCAGGGCCGGGAGACGGGGCGACGCAGGGGCAGGAGGCAGGGCGGCTCAGGGACGGGAGACAGGGCGGCGCAGGGACGGCAGGCAGGGCGGCGCAGGGACGGGAGACGGGGCGGCGCAGGGACGGGAGACAGGGCGGCGCAGGGTGACTCAGGGTGGAGACGAGGAGACGAGCGGGGTGACTCAGACGGCCGTGCCGCCGCGCTTACACCTGGTCAGCACCCGGCAGCACAGTCAGGCAGCCACAACCGACGCCGTCCCGGACGGGCCACACAGCGTCCGACGCTGGTCAGCTCGAGCCGGCTGCGCTTGGCGCCAGCTGACCGGCACCCCATCACCTCCAGTGGCGTAATCTCCTCAATCGAGTGGCTTTGGTCGGGCCTGCGGCGGCCGGCCGCCGGCAGCCGTGCCGGCGAAAGGCCGCCCCGCGCCACAATCGCGGCCGCCCACTGCGCGTGATGACGCATCCGGCGCGCACGACACGCCGGCCTCCGTGTGCCACAATGGCCGCGTCGCGCCGCGCGTGACTCCTGCTTTTAACGGCGATTCGCATTACCGGCCGGCCGGGAGGCGGCCGTCACCGAGGAAACGAAACGGCGGCCGCCACCGCAAGGCCGGGCACGCGCGCTCGAGCGTGGCGGCGAGCGTCGGCTGGCCGGCCGCGCCGTCCGACCGGGGTCAGCCGCGCCCGCTGGAGGCCGCCGGCCCGTGGCGCAACGGCCGCGCGGTCAGATGCACCGCCCGACCGTCGGCGGCGCCGGCGGCAGGACGGCTCAGGAGTCGGCCGACGACGCGAGGCCGGCTGTCGGCCGCCCGCTGGCCGGCTGCCGCTGTCGGCCGCCCGCTGGCCGGCTGCCGCTGTCGAGCCGCCCGCATAGCGCCGGCCGCCGCCCGGACAGCTGCGGCGTGACGCGCCGCCCGCGGCCCGGCTGCAGCGGCGTGATGTCAGTCGCCGGGAGAGGGCGCCAGCAGCCGCGCCTGTTTAGTTTATCGTATGCGGCATACATGGCTGTCGGCGCCACGGTGCAGGCCAGGAGCGGGCGGGCGGCCAGTTTCGTCTGCACCGACCCAGTGCCGGCCGGCCAGACGCCACCTAAGCACAGACAGCCGGCCGGCTGGCCGGCCCGGCCCGGCCCAGCCCAGCCTCAACTCGACCGGCAACCCAAACACGCTGGCCGGCGGCGCGCCGCGTCCGCAAGCGACGCTAATGCCGGTCTTTAGCGTAACGGTCGGCCACCGCCGGCCATTCATACGGACATTAGTATTCGAGCGTGCACAGACAAACGGCCCAGCTGGCTCCCAATAAAGTCGTGCGATCGAGCGAGAAAGGCGGCAGCACAGACAGTACCGGATGGGGCGTCGCGGCAAGGGGCTATTAGACGAGCGTTTCTGAACGCCGCTTGCTGGCGTCAGGTCGGCCACCGTTCGAAGCCGGCGCGCGGTGACAGGGTGGGACAAGCTGGCGCGGTGACAGGGTGGGACAAGCTGGCGCGCGGCGACAGGGTGGGATAAGCTGGTGCGCGGTGACAGGGTGGGACAAGCTGGCGCGCGGTGACAGGGTGGGACAAGCTGGCGCGCGGTGACAGGGTGGGACAAGCTGGCGCGCGGCGACAGGGTGGGACAAGCTGGCGCGCGGTGACAGGGTGGGACAAGCTGGCGCGCGGCGACAGGGTGGGACAAGCTGGCGCGCGGTGACAGGGTGGGACAAGCTGGCGCGCGGTGACAGGGTGGGACAAGCTGGCGCGCGGTGACAGGGTGGGACAAGCTGGCGCGGTGACAGGGTGGGACAAGCTGGCGCGCGGTGACAGGGTGGGACAAGCTGGCGCGCGGTGACAGGGTGGGACTCAGTGGGACAGTGGGACAGTGGAACAGAACTGGTGACAGGGTGGGACAAGCCCTCATCAGACCGTGAGGGCTGTTTGTGGCGAAGCCGCGTCAGTGAGGATCAAGGCCAGCCAGGTTTACACTGCCGCCTCCCGACGTGGAGTCGATGTCGATCGTGGCTTGATGTGTTATCGCGCCCGTTTGAGGTGTTCCGACAGCTGGAGCGCGCGCGGCCGAGCCCCACGCCTGTCGTGGATACCTGCGGGGCAAGCTGAGCCAGCTGTGCGCGCCCCAGCTCACCAGACACGCCAAACACTTAACGCCACCGTTAGCCACGTTACAAACGACGGCACCCGCGCGCTTTTCAATCGCTCAACCTCAGACAATGGCATTAACCTGCGCCGACCATTAGGCCGAATGGAATCACGGCGTAACGCGGGGTTTACCGGACCGCGGGCGGCGGACGACCCCCGCCAGCGCGCGGCGTGGCGCGGCGCGGCCCGCCGCCCGATGCGGCCGATATGTCACAACGCGGACGAGGTCTGAACCAGGTCACCGGCGGCCGGCGCCGTCTGCACGGGGGCGGCCGGGCCGCGCGGCCCGACCGCCACCGGCGGAAGCGGCACTGGCCCGCCGGCTCTGCGGCCAGCCACGCAGGCCCGCGCCTGCTGATGGCTTCGGGCTATGGCTCCGGTTACGACCGCCGGCGCCGGGCACCTCCTGCCGGGTCACGTAGGTCACCCGGTCGCCAGCACGCTGTGCCTGGATACTCACTGCAGCACCATCATCTTGATCTTGTCCATCGTCATGCGGCGCCGTCGCCTCGGGGGCGTGCCGATCGCCAGAGGCACCCGGACCCCCTCCATCGGGCACACACGCACACACTGGCGGCTGTGTCGGCTACCGTCGGGCGCGGTGGCGGAGGCGACGGCGCCAGCGGGTCCGCGCGCCGCCCCTCACCGTAACGGTCTGCCCAGCTCTTCTGCTGGCATCGGCCGGGCGGCCGCCGCACGGCATTCAGCGCAGACGCCGCGCACCAGACGTCGCCGGCCGGGAGGCGACCGCGCGGCACTACCGCTGCGCGGAATCCGCGCACCGCCCGCGAAGCCGTCTGGCGACGTTGCAACGCTGCAGCGTGCCGACAGGAGGTCGACCAGCGCGTCTGCCCAGAGGCCGTGCTCCGGTCAGACGCCGAACCCGAGCCGCTGACGGCAGAGGTGTCTCACGAGCCGGCAGGGTTCGGGTGCGAACAGAGGCGGTCACGCGGCACCTAGCAACGACGCGTCACCGGCTGACCGGCCAGCCCGGGCCGCATTCAAACACCGCCGCGGCGGCTGTCCGAGTGGAACGAGCCAGCGTGCCGCGGCCGCCAACGGTCGGCCGCACAGGCCACTGCCCATCCGGTTCAGTGTGCTGCAGGCCGGCCCGCTCGCAGCGGCGGCAGGGCCTGGGTCGCTCGCAACAGCGGCGAGGCCCGGGTCGCTCACAGCGGCGGCAGGGCCCGGGTCGCTCGCAGCGGCGGCAGGGCCCGGGTCGCTCGCAGCGGCGGCAGGGCCCGGGTCGCTCGCAGCGGCGGCGGGGCCCGGGTCGTCGCTGGCTGGCCCCCGCACACTGCAGGCCCTGCAGAGACAGCCCACTCCCACTTCAAAGGCTGCGCTTCTAACCGGGCACTTCCCGAGTGTCTCGTTATCCGCGACCAACAGGGCTGCGGGGAAAACCCCCCCATCCCCTGGTATCAGGACCTCAAGGTCGGATTTAAAAAAAAAAAACAGAACGGCGATCAACAGTACAGTACCGGTCAATCTCTGTCTGGGCGTGGGAAGTTAATGCCTGTCACGTGACTGATGACGCCACAGGCCATATAAAACGGCTTAACATCCGCCGAAATATTGCAACAACTTCAGTCCCTTCGATCGCGTCTATCAGTCGCATAGACATACGAAATGCTTCTTCTCCAGACTTTGTCAGCTTGATCACCTGCCCGACACTAAAATCCTCCCCCCCCCCCCCCTCCTCTACACACACACAAGGCAGTCACGGGTAAACATGAGGAGAGCCTTTCTACGGTGTCAAAAACCGCAAACATAATTTTGCATGCCGAATGGTGGGACTACTTTGTCAACAAAAGCACATCCCTGACGAGTGAATTACGTGTTGGAGAATGTGAAGTTTCGCGATGACTGATAATGCGTAATTCCAACAGCGCACGCGGCCCAGACGTCCTCCGGACTTCCTTCTTGTCACGGTGCATGATCTACGTATGCATCTGGTGGCTTGCACAGCGTATCGGCGAGTATTTCAGAGGCGAGGTGATTTTTCTTAATCAAACTTTCCCGACACCAAATTGCTCTTTGTGAGTAGGACCTACAGCCGCGGACCTATTGACCTACATCAGACCTACAGCCGCGGATCTTGCATGCGGGATCAGTCACCTGTCCAAAAATACGTGCCGTGCACGGTTATTGAAGAGCCCCAGTTTCTTAATGCCATGTTGGCGGTTGAACCGGTTGTAACGGTTAATCACAAAAAAACATCCCACTATGTCAACGCTTCTCAAAAGCGTCCAGGCAACACGAGCAGGGCTTAACCGGCGTATCACAACGCTGGTTAAGACATAAATCAAGCAATGCCGGCTTTGCTGCGCCTCACGGCTGAGCACGACTTGTAGTGCTCGAGGGCACGATTTAGGGTGCGCCGGTGTGTGGTGGGCTTGTCATTACTCAAGCGCTCCCTGCCTTCAGATGGGCAAAAGGGCAGCGACAGATGATGTCCACGACACACAGCACACAGGACTGATCCCTCGTGCCTTCAACGCGCCGCTGGTGCTACACCGATGTATCGAGCTGCAGTCTCCAGCTACTGCGCTGTTCGTGCGTTGCTGTTTCCGCCCAGCGGTGCGTGCCGCCGCACCTCTGGCCCGTAGCGTGCTTCCCAAACTGAATCAGCGCGGCTGACACTGATCCGATAACGTGCGCTGACTGGCCGGCAAAGATGGGAGCAGACGCATGCTCCGCTGCTGCCGCCTCCGTCGCCGGCCTCACGTGTAGGGCCGCCCTGACTCGGCCCGGCTGGTGCCTTTCACAACGGGGCGGGCGGCCGTGAGGGGCGCGGCGCCGGCCCGCCGGGCGCCACAGCACCACCGGCGCCGTGACGAGGCAGTCCAGAGCGCAGCCCGGCAGCCGTGACTGCCGCTCCGAGCCCGAGGTCGGTGCGCCGCCGCCGCCGCCCCGGCTCGCGGCCCCGGCCCCCGGCCTGTCGGACACCGGGGTCACCCGCGGCCCCGGCCCCCGGCCTGTCGGACACCGGGGTCACCCGCGGCCCCGGTCCCCGGCCTGTCGGGCACCGGGGTCACTCGCGGCCCCGGCCTGTCGGACACCGGGGTCACCCGCGGCCCCGGCCTGTCGGACACAGGGGTCATCCGCGGCCCCGGCCCCGGCCTGTCGGACACCGGGGCCACCCGCGGCCCCGGTCCCCGGCCTGTCGGGCGCCGGGGTCACCCGCGGCCCCGGCCCCGGCCTGCCGGACACCGGGGTCACCCGCGGCCCCGGTCCCCGGCCTGTCGGACACCGGGGTCATCCGCGGCCCCGATCCCCGGCCTGTCGGACATCGGGGTCACCCGCGGCCCCGGTCCCCGACCTGTCGGACACCGGGGTCACCCGCGGCCCCCGGTCCCCGGCCTGTCGGACACCGGGTCACCCGCGGCCCCGGTCCCCGGCCTGTCGGACACCGGGGTCACCCGCGGCCCCGATCCCCGGCCTGTCGGACACCGGGGTCACCCGCGGCCCCGGTCCCCGGCCTGTCGGACACCGGGGTCACCCGCGGCCCCCGGTCCCCGGCCTGTCGGACACCGGGGTCACTCGCGCCCACACCTTTGTGCTGCGGACGGCGCTTCTGCCTCAACTAGGGCACCCATACAAAGCGGGCAAAGGCGGCCGGCGAACGACTGGTCTCGTGGTGCGGGCGGCACACAAAGCAGGGCGCGCGCGCGCCGCTGGCCGCCGCGGCGGCGCCCGGTCGCGAGCGGCTGTCGCGGCCGCTCGCCGGCCCGCTCCCAACGGCTGCCACTTCCCACGCCGGTGCGGGGCGGGCGGGCGGGGAGGGGGCGACCCGGCCCACGCGGAACACGTGAACCAGGAACGAGCAGCGGCTGACAAAGGCGCGGCCGAGACGGCTTTGTCGCGGATCTCGATGCTTCGGATGCTCTGGAGCATTCGAAGCAGTGCAACGCAGCGCGATGCTTCGCATGCATCTAAGGCACGCATAGCACGGCAGTTTGTGACCAAACCAGGCTGACCGGGCCTTCTGGTTTCAAGACATTTGTGGGACATTTGGACTGTAATGGCGTACGACACCCGTGGTTTTTGACATCGCCTTTTTTAAATTTGCTTGTTTCTTTACGTTGTATTTTTCTTTCATTTGTGTTGTCTTTTCGTTGGCACCGCACTCAATAAAGAGAATGAATTGGGTGCGAAGTGCATCTGAGGAAAATGCAATGCCACTAAATCTCTCAGACATTGACAACGCAAGCGAAAGACTTATGGCATGACTTGTAGGACAGCCGACAAATTTGAAGCGGTACATTATGGTAGATAAAAGTGATAACGAAGCCCGACGTACACCGGACCACAACGTGGCACCATCGGCCAACTCAAGCCTACACCGCGTGGCATTGATTTGTCGGTGGTGCGGTAACCACACACATCTCGCCCACGATTGTCAGCCCAACCACACATCGCAGGAATGCTGCATCCGAAGGTCCGTCACCATGCGCCGCCACAGCCGCAGTCGGCACTCAGTCTGTACTCACCCCTGTTGGCCGGCGGTCGGAGAGAGCGGTGCCGCCCTCTGCGCAGCTGCCGCCGGTCTGGTGCTGCCGCCTGGCGGCAGCGGCAGCGGCTCCAGCATGGGCGGCGGTGGCGGCAGCGGCTCATCGCTGATGCTCAGCGTCTCGTCGGCCTGCGGCGGCGGCGGTGGCGGCGGCAGCTCGGGAGACTGGCAGCGGGCCGGCTCTGGCATCGCCGGCTTCCGGATGCATGGGCTCTTGGGAGGGCGGCTGGGCGCTGGCGCGAACTCGTCCGGCGTCGGCACCAGCAGCTGGTGAGACGGCGCCGCCACCTGCGGCGCCGCTCCGCTGCTGAGCGCGCGCAGGTGCGGCTTCTTGGGCGGCCGCTCCGGCGGCAGGTCGTCCCGCGAGCTCGACCGCACGTGTTGACTCGCTTTGGTTGATGCCCGAATGCTGGAACAGGACGCGACCGTCAGTTCAGCTTTCACCCGTCCCTAGCTTACCGGGCGGCGTCCGGCCGGCTCCGGACCGGCCAGTGGCTGCGGCAGGTGACGGATATTCACGGCCGGCTGACGAGACCGGTGTGAGCCAACCCTTTGTGACGGAGCATCCGGTGGGGTCGGCTGGCCGGCCGGCCGGCCGCGCCGGCGCGGCGTCTGGAACAAAAGGCGCCACAACAGCCCCCTGCTGGCAGACGGAAACGGGTCGGGGCCGCGCCCGTCGCCACCGCATACCTCGCGTGCCGGCACCGCGCACTCCTCCAGCAACCGGACGTTGAACTCGTCCAGCTCTTTGTGACGCCGCGCCGGTCGGTCCCACGGCCGGTGCAAAAAAGCTCGCGGAGACAGTTTCATTGGGCGTAAGGACTGCGCCGCGTCCGGCAACGGTGAGCCGCTGCGGAATTTCAGCGTCAGACGAGCTGTGGCGCAGCGCGGCGCCCGGTCAGATGAGGTCAGTGGCCAGCGGCCGGCTTCACTCGCCACTGGCACGCTCGTGACTTCGGCCAGGACAACGCAAAGCCGATCAGCGGTCGTGCGCCTATCGAGGTCACCGGTCGGGCGGGCCGCCCCACTGCCGCTGAAGCGCCGCATGGCCCGGCACCACCGTCGCCGTTCTGTTATTTTCAGTACAGCGGTCATGGCGCCGACCTCGTACGTCAGCGGCCATTGCGGCGCGCGCTGACAGCTGCTGGCAACGTGCGCTGCAGAACGCAACGGGCGAGCAGCGAGGAACGGCGCGACTGTCGCCAACTGGCGGCGGCCGCCGGCGGCGTCGCCCACAGCGGCGCGGCGATGGCCTCGCCGCAAACTTGCAACGGACGCCATACCCTCTCGACTCAGGCTAGATCACGGGTGGTTCCATGTGAGCATGGGCGCCCCAAAAATATTCAACTTAGCACTACGCCTATGGCGAGGTACACAGAGAGAATGGCCCTGAAATACTCTCGCTTCCTGCTATCCTAATCACCAGCCGGCGGCATCATCCTCAGCTGGGTGCATGCCACCGCTAAACGTAGCGTATAGCTATAGTGCAAAAAGAAGGCTACAAAGACCCTGGTGTGCCGGACTGCGGCACTCTCGAACGCTTCGGACGCGGTATTCTGGCCCATACGCCAGCGCGCACTGGCCGATGTGGAAGCAGCATAGTCAAATGACGGTAGAAAGCTGTCGTGCGACAAGACGCGCGCGCCTTTCCAAGCGGAAGCCGATGAGCTTGGCCTCCGAACCTCGCCGGGATGATGCTGGTGACGTCATCAAGGTGACAGGCTGTCCGGGGCAGCGGCGACACGTCTCCTCACGCCATTCCACTGGGCGCACGACACGTCACAGCGCTTCGTGCAATTCTCCTTGACATGATTCACATTCAGTTACCTTATAGCCTTTTTAGGCACATGTGCAACCCGCAAAACCAGAAACACAAACTCAAAATCAGAAATGTGGTAAATACTGAAAATAGCAATTACGCCTTACCGCTTGCAGATTCTGATGATAGACCCTTTCAAGGCCAAACCTATGTACAAGCCTTCCTTTCACTTACTGTATGAATCGCTTTTGATATGTCGTGATGAATGAAACCTTACGACATAAGCATGCCTCTCTTTGTGACCGAGCCGGAATCTGAGCAACGACCTGCTTAAGCCCCACGAACAGGATGTCAGTTTTGGTGCCCATTAATATTGCCAACGACACAAAAGTACAGTTGTGCAAATGCCACGTTATGATCCCGTACAGCTGTGATGCATACATGGTGCACTACTTTGAATAAGCTGCGTCATTGTCCTCCGCACACCTCGTCTCAGCAGCGTGCCAGATCCCCAGCTGACCTGCATTCAGACAGGCTAGCGGCGCGTCCGAGCCCGGACCGCAGTCACAGGGCCGCTGGGCCGACACCATGTCCCGTCAGTCGCCCAGAGCGGGCGGGCGGGCGGTCGGTCGGCGCCAGCCCCTGCCGACCCGCCTCTCTCACCCGCCAGGCCCCACTCACCGCAGGCAGCATATGCAGTGGCAGCGCACCATCGCGTTGTGCCGCGACGGCGGCACCAGCTCCATTCTCACCGGGCGTCGGAGGACGCACCACTCCTCTCTCCCGGTGCACCAGTTGGAACCAGCCGGCGGCACCAGCGCACACCAGCCGACACCAGCCCAGCTGCGGCTACACGCACCACGCACGGCGAGCCCACTAAGAAGGCGGCGGCGGGGGAGTCAGCGCCGCGCGCCTGCCGTCCGCAGCGCTATCGGACACCGGCCAGCGGTGGCGGCGGCCGCGACCTTGCGGTGCCCACCCGCCGGCAGCGCAGCGCCGCGGCCGCCCGGCGAACTACGCCGCCGACCGGCGATGGGCCGCCCGGAAAAGGAGGCAGGTGGCGGCCGATCGGCAGGGAGGGGCGGCACGCTCCCGGCCCCCGCTCTCCACATGCTGTCCAGCCGGCGCCACGGCACGCTGATCACGCCCCAGCTCCGAGAACAGTAGGTTGGTCGTAATCACCTCCGAATTACGCCCCCGACCCGTGCTCGACTCATCAAAGAAATGAATAAAAAATAAGAGAGCGCAAGTATTCGCCGTGGCAGGCAAATTATGACGAATATGGAAGTTCTACGCAAGACATACGGGGCGGGTGGGGGTTTCACGCCCGGGTAATTAGAACCTGCGCACCCCTCTCCCTTCATCGGCGCTCTCTTCCTGTTACCGCGACCGAGTCCTGAACACATTCCAGAAGCCCCCACCACGGCCTTCCCCACAGGCTTTGTCAATAGGCGAGACCTCCGTGCCGACGTGCAAAAACGGCCTCTCTCACACCAGCCGGTCCATTCACGGCCTTTGTTTGATCGGAGAACGGTGGAGCGGGCGCGCGCGCGCGCGCTGGCGGTCGGCCGGCGGAGCGGGGCCGGGCCTGCCCGGATGCCCGGTGTGACGGACCACGCCGTTGTTACGCGTGGCTGGTGCCGGCGGCAGCGGCGGCCGTCCCCCGTCCAGCGCCGGCCTGCGCCTCCCACAACTGGAGCAGCGACCCAGGTGCGGTAGGCCCGCGCGTCCCGGAATGCCGGACGCCACACGCCGGCCGCGCTATCCGGCCATCGCCGGGACCGAGCAGGACACGCCACAGGCTGATCCGCCGGCTAATAGCAGGCGCAGGCGAAAACAAGGCGAGCCACTATCGCTCGTCAACGTCAGAAAACTAACACGGCGCGCGCGCGGGACAATCTTCCAAAACAGATCCATTAGTGGCGGCCGGCCGGCGGGCGGCCCGATCTGGCGGGAGCCTCTCCAGACGACGGGTGGTCCGGCGAGGCTGGCCGGGCAGCCTGGCAATTATGACGGCGCTAACGACAGAATGAGCGTCGGCTGCCCGGCACGCCCGCCAAAACATTCGGGGCAGGAACAACGCGCTCGCTCGCGGCGGCCGCCCGCCAGCACAACGGCGAAAGTGGGCAAGCGCTCGTGTGATGGTCGTCACGGTCCAGGTCGTGTGATCAAGCGCTCGTGTGATGGTCGTCACGGGCCAGGCCGCCCTCGGTGTCGCAGGCCCGTTTTTGCGGCAGCGATGTCGCCAGTGTGCATCCATTTTTCGCACGCAACGCGGCCCGGCCCGCGCAAGGACACGAGCGGAGAAACGCACCAAGGTCGCCTAATGAGAAATTCCGCGTTTTTCACGGTGCCTGTCGATGCGTTACCATAACAAAAGCGGCGCAATTAAAGCGATCGCGGGCGGGAGCGGCGGGGCGGTGGCGTCCACCGGGCCGGGCGCCAGCCTCCTGACCACCACATACGGTCCTGACGACCAGGTCCGGAGGACGGCGCCGCAGCACCCTCCTATCCCCGATACCGTGACCATTCCACTCTGCTTAATACGCATTTTTTGTGGCATCCGTCCGGACAAAACTCCGGCATCTATCAGCCGGCGCGGGAACAATGGAACGGCGCTGTTGTGGCGCGCCACCCATGGCCGTGTTTAAAAATGGTGGGCAGCCCCCGCCTGCCCAAAGGCCGCGGAACCGGGCCAATCTGCGCGGCATCGGGCACCGCCGGAGCCGAACACTTACCAGATGTTTAATGCCCGCGCCGCGCCAGAAGTAGGCTAAACGGAGAGCGTGCCCTACACAGCGCACCCGGTAAACTAGTGTCAGAATAGGCCATTGTGGTCGGATGGCGATTTATTCCAGCGCCGCCATTCTCGGGGCTGACGGATGCGCGCTACAGATCGGCCCGCCGCCCTTGTTTTTGTTGGAGCTTTGCTACATGTGCCGCGGGGTATTGGCCGAATTTCAAGTTCCACACGGAACTATCACTGTGGTGAGACTGCAATCAGGGCTAGCAGCAGCAGCCTGGAAACGGCGTCTGCAGTCAGACTTAACAGAATAAACCATGGGGAGCAAGCATCTGCCATTGGCAAAAGCAGGCATACTTGACCTGTCAGCATAATTTATCTACAACTCCATGGTGACCATTAAGTGGCGACATGTGCAGCTTAGCATGCTTTCTTGCGATCTGAATAAGAAACATCGCTTTTACAATCTGGAAGAAGCATGAAATGCACGCCTTTTGTCCGAACTCATGCTTTGAGGATTGGTGGGTTCAGCTTCAGACACTGCAAGTGCCACCATGGGGGCAGAAACGCAGCATTACGAGCATGTTTATGCTTAAGTAGAGTGCAGAATCTAGATTCCGGACTAACATGACATTTCGCTTCGTAGCATATTTGAATAAGCTCACCTTATGAAAGCTTATTTGCATCATGTTAGGCATCTTTACCAACTGCTGGATGGTAAATCCGTCCATGACATCACCTTCGAGTATAGAATGAGGAGGCACATCACAGCTGGTTGCGGAAGGAGCAGTCATGTGTCATACAAGTCACGGCCAACGATCACAGGTCAAGGGCTTACACACTAATTTATACACTACGTAAGCACAAATGCGTCATATATTTCAAAAGCGTCGTTGCATCAGTACGCCATTGCTGGTTTTCTGTCCGCTTCAGCGGGCTGAATGTCAGTCCTGGCTTCCACGAGACGCCTGGCTGACAGGTTACCAAATCCAGCTGGGCTTTGTTGGGCCCAGCAGGGGACGGAGGGCTGGGCTTCCGGCTGTCAGTGTCGAGCGTCCACAAACGGCCAACTAAAATACAGCGGCGCAAACAGACCGCCCTCGCTCTCGCTCCCTCCAAGCACCGCCGCTGGGCACCATGGTGATGGAGAGGTTACAGTAAAACGGAGGGATTGGTCGTGATCCTCTGACCCCGGCAGCCGGCCTCCCCAGCTCGCCCACCTGTTAGATTCGACGTCTGCAGTCGGTCCGGCCGGTAGGCTGCAGGCGGTGTCGGCACTGGGTAGCTCCGTGATCTGAAACGACAACAGCAAGCTTTTGTAAAAGATCCTCCTAGCACCGCAGGCCGTTATTATCATGTGCGGGCAATGGCAATACAGACCAGCCGTCCAGACAGCAGTCTTCAGTCATGTCGCCCGCAAATAGATCAGACATGTTGAGCGGTGGCGCCACCAAGTCTAGCTTTTTAAGCCACACGATAGATGGCAGTGCAAACCCACAGCCGTCGTTCATCTCCAAACCAAGTCGTTCCAAAATAAACATCGCCACGGTCGATTGTATTTTCGTCCCACGAAAACAGGTACAACGTGTGGCAAGTCAATCGTCTCGTTTTGGCGCGCCAGCCACCTCTCTGAAAGTAAATCCTCCCCACCAGCGTTCATAGCAGACCCACGAGGGCGCCGGCAGGGCGGGCTGAAACGACTGGCCGGTCTCAGCAGCCGCCATCAGTACGGTCATACCTACTCGGGTCAACAGGTAGCAGTTTTTTTGTTTTCTGATCGGCGCTGACAGGCTGCAGCTGGACAGGCCCGCCTGCTGTCCGACGGTCGGAGGTCGACGGTGGCGCCGCCACCGGACCAACCAGCCCTCGCCGTGCGGGCGACACCTGCGTCCATCCGTCTGGGCGATGCCCGCCCGAGCCCGAGACCACCTCCAAAGGCGCACTAGCAACCCTACTGTGCGGCGTCGCCGAAGGCGGCGACCAGCTCGACGCGCCGGCTTCCGCAGCCGCGGGAACGACGACCGGCGGCGTTCAGGGTCGCCGCCAAATTAATCAGCTGCCAATCGAACGGCGGTGGCGGCCTCAAACGACATGCGAAAACATCCTAGCAAAAAATAACGGCAGCCGTCGCCTGGGAATCAATTGGCCGGGCCGTGTTCAGGCATCGCGCGGCCGAGATTTAATTTCGTAATAAGCATCGCACGCCGCTGGGACGGCACCATTATTAATGACGAACACGACCGAATTGGGCGGCGCTGGCAGCGCGGCGGTGGCCGGCAGCGCAGGGCGCGATAAACCGCTGCCGAGAGCGGAGGCCGCGCTGCCGCCGCCGCCACCGGTCGGCCTCTCGGCTCGGGCAGGCGCGTCGCCGCCAGCGATCCATCACGCGAGAGGCGGCCGCGCGGCAGGGCTGCCGCCGCCTGCGAGCCCCACCGGCGCCGAACGGAAGCCCAATGTGTGCTAGACAATAACAGCGCGTCGGGCCGCTGATTATTCTCGGTCAACGGCGGCAGGCCGACCTGTCTCCCTGGGCTCGGCCCTGCGGACTGACGAGAGTGCAGCACGCGCCGTCCACATCGGACCAGACTCGACAATGGAGACGCCTCGAGAGCAGCGCACCTCACCCCATCAGCCGAGAAAGCGGAAAATCGTGTGGGCTCTCCGGGTGGCGCACAAAAACGGCCGGCACGAGGCACACAGACTGAGACCAAGCACGAGCTTTACCTGCAGTGAGGTGTGGGGAGGCGCGATGGTCGCCACTGAAGGGCGAGACAGTCACAAATCTGCCTGTGATCCGGTCAGAACATGACTTCGTCACAGGCCTGACGCCCACCAGCCACAGGCGGCGCGCCCTCAGGTGTTCAATGTTCAGAACATGAGTTCGTCACAAGTCTGACGCTCACCAGCCACAGGCGGCGCGCCCTCAGGTGTTCAATGTTCAGAACATGAGTTCGTCCCAGGTCTGACGCTCACCAGCCATAGGCGGCGCGCCCTCAGATGTTCAATGTTCAGGACATGAGTTCGTCACAAGTCTGACGCTCACCAGCCACAGGCGGCGCGCCCTCAGGTGTTCAATGTTCAGGACATGAGTTCGTCCCAAGTCTGACGCTCACCAGCCACAGGCGGCGTGCCCTCAGGTGTTCAATGTTCAGGACATGAGTTCGTCCCAAGTCTGACGCTCACCAGCCACAGGCGGCGCGCCCTCAGGTGTTCAATGGCATGCAGAGCGCACGCCACGCCCCGGGGCCGGTCTGCATACCTATGCAGCATTTACACCTCTATAGGAATTGAAGTGGTCTTATCAATGCCAACCTTAGACACACGCGGACATCAAAGGACTCGGCAGACGAAGAAGCGCCTCAGAAAGTGGGCGAACCAAACCAGTTTGAAGTCGTTTTACCATGCGTTATCACAGGACTAATGTTCCGCGTTCTCGCGAAGTGGGCAGCCGTGGCACCAGCGCCCCCCCCCCCCCCCTCCCCGTTCTATCTCTATGAGAGGCATGAAGCTTAAAATAGACACACCAGATTCCATGGGTGGATCCGTAAATGGCCGATGACGCATCTCGAGCGGGGCGAATACAAAAAAGGTGAGCCAGTTTGTAAAAATTATCCGCGATTTGTTTCCTTTTCCTCTGACATGTGCTCTGCACCATATTTGTCTCAGTAAAAGTTGCTTACACCTTCTGTGAAAACCAATAGTGTTATGTTTCGCTCGATTTTTCACCTTTGGGATCATGACCTGGTTGGCCCACCTTCTGAATCCGTCTCTGTCGAATATCACACGTGAAACGAACTTTGGACCAAATGGCTTCGATTTTCGGCAAGACCCCTCTGCATCAGGCGCCACGACGTTAGTTCCATCAGGCACGTACAGCCTAAGGCTGTTCTGAATCCCGCCAGGAGAAGAGCACGCAGACAGACAAGAAGGGTCGCCATACGCCCCGCGTAGACTTCGTGCCTCGAAAACACCAGGTCGGCACCGGTGAGCCCCAGAGAAGGACGTGAACCGGACGCGGCGATAAGTGCGCAGGGGCGCGTGCACCAGACGGGCGCGTCTCGATCCCAGGCATCGGCGGCGCCGTGACTGTGGCGGACTGGACTGCCAACCGCGTGCCACGCCCACGCGGACCTCTCGGCGACTCGCCTCAACAGCTCCAGGCTGACCGAGCACAGCACGTCCGGCCCCGGCCTCGGCCGCCGCCGCCGCCGCAGCGCAGGGCCTGGCACGGCTGGGCCCGGGGCGGCCCGGCCCGTAATCGGCCCACGTGGGAGCGCCGCGCCGCCGACCGACGTCCGCCCGTAGGACGGTGTGAAAACTGCCGGCAGTGCGGCGGCGCTCGTGCGGCCCGCCTCCGCGTCCGCCTGTGTGCCGCGGAGGCGGCAGCTCGGCCGCGGCCGCGGCGCCCAACAGCCAGCGGGTCAGCGTGGTCACGAGCGGCGGCGGCGGCGCGGCCGTTCATCAGCGGCGCATTCCAGCCCCGCCTGCAACGGCGGCGCGGTCACGGCGCGCGCCGCCGCAACTCTGGCGTGTCCCTCTGCCAGCCACGCCGGCCCGCTCCCCTCTTCCCCCCCCCCCCCCCTGTCGGGAATGCCACGCCGTCAATAAGCGTGATTGCCGGACGCCTGAGCACCGCGAAACGCCGGCACTGGTCGCATTGCTGTCGCTGACCGCAGACGGCTGACGCGTCGCAGCACTCCACAACTATGCCGCTGCGGCAGGGCATCACGCTGCGGCCGGCTCAACCATCGCCCACAGCCGCAGTCCTGCACGGCACGACGCCACTGTTGGTTCGCCCGCGTCTTTAGCTGTGACACCCTCGCCGATGGTCGCTGATGATCGCCGCAGAGAGGTACCGCGCCGTGGCAGCCGTGCGCTGACTCCGGCGAGATCGGCGCCGCCCGTGACGCGTATCCCTGCACGCGCCGGCCGCCTGCCGGCCGCCTTTGTTGCCGGACCGTGATTTACACGCCGACTGGAGCCGGAGAAAAGAGGTCGCTGGCGTGCCGGCCGGCCGTAACAGCCCGCTGACCGGGTCAGCAGCGGGCGGACGGCCGGGCGCCGGTCTGTGGCAGCCGCCGCTCACAGGCACGCGCGACGCTCGGCCCACCACGCCCCCGCCCCGCTGTCCTTCATGCGTTGCGCTCGGCCACTGTGACCGCAGGCAAGTGGGCGTGACAAAGGGTGGACAACGAGCCGTCCGCAAGCACACCATCTAATGAGCTACGTGTTTATTACACTGCTGGGAAAAGTTTGTAACAGAAAAGCTGCAAAAATCATGATAATACAAGTGTAATGCTTGGAACCGTCTGTGCTGTTAAATGACACTGATTAGAGACAAATGTTGCACGTGCAATGAGATTCAAAAAAGCTTAACTATCTATAAGCGGCATCAGTGAGGCTCACGATAGCTCAGAGCACAGGGGTTGTCACATGGTCTTCTTTCCACAGAAACGCAGCGTGTTCCTCTCTCGTCGCGCCTGCGGCGCAGTGTTCGGCGCAGTGCTCAGCCCAACCTCACAACGCCACGGCGTCGGGGTGGCGAGCTGGCCGCGAGCTACTCCAGTAGAGCAGACCACTAGACGGCCGTCCGAGACCGGCCGCGGCCGGCCGGCGGAGCCCTCCAGCCGCCGCTCGACTGGCCGTCTGCGGGCGCTGCACACCTCCGACGCCATGTCGCCCGGTAACGGCCGCCGCCGCTCAGATCCGCGCACGCCGCAGGCCGCCGACGCCGCGTGCATCAAGACATTCATGGAGATTTTACGGTCAACGCGCGTCGTTTAGCGCCGTCGTAAAAGCCGGTCCAGCATTATTCGGCTGCCGGCGACGGCGCGGCGCGCCGGCCGGCCGGGGTCAGAGCGCAGGTCATTGATACCGGACGGCGGCATCAGGACCTGTAGTCGCCGGCCGGGGCGGTCACATCAGGTCACATCAGGTCACAGCAGGCAGTCACATCAGGCGCCGGGATGCCTCCGCCTGCCGCCGCCATCGTACGTCGCTCCCGACCGGCTCAGGGCGCGGCGGAGCGGCACTCGTACGACCGCCGGTCCCTAAACACGCGGTCGGCACTCCGGCCCGGTCCGACCGCCGGTCCCTGAATACGCGGTCGGCACTCCGGCCCGGTCCGACCGGCAGAGGCGGAGAGGCCGGTCGGCAGCGCAGCCAGAGGCCCGGCGCGGCACGACGTGACGAAAGCCCGCTCGCTCGTCAGTTTATCGACGGCAAAAAGGCGGCGTCGGCCGGCCGCACCGCACAGTAAAAAGGCCCGCCGGATCACGGGCCGATGTGAACGCACCGGCCGGAATGTCGACTGATAGTGGCTGCATGCCGGGGCCGCCGGGGCCACCGCGTGTACTTCCAGCGCAGGCCGCTGACGCAGCCGGTTTGGCTCCCCTTGTTTTCATCAGACATAAGAGAAGTGGAAAAAGAGGGGCATTTGCGGCGGACGAGTGTTTCGACGAAGATGTTGTAAGGCGACGAGGGTCTGAACAACATATACCTTAATTACAAATGACGCTGTTGCATCTGTTGTTGAATATCACCAAACGATGGTCTGCAAGTCAACGTACTCCGCAAAGTACGCACAAATGGTATAAACGTAACGAACAGCGACCACAGTCAGACTGGCGCTGTTTACCTACCATGAGTGAACATCTCAAGCTTTGCTTCACACCTCGCAATTTGGTTTGTTACCCGCGCCGCAAGCGTGGGGCCCTGATGATTATAACTTAACACAGGCGCCGGACAAAATCTACCAAAACATGTATAAACGTCACGGACAAGATCTACCAAAACATGTATACACGTCACGGACAAGATCTACCAAAGCATGTATACACGTCACGGACAAGATCTACCAAAACATGTATACACGTCACGGACAAGATCTACCAAAACATGTATACACGTCACGCCTAAAAGAAATGCCAAGGACGCGTGTCACAAGCATGCACACGAGATCGAGACATTTTGATAGGGTGGTTGGCGCAGGCGGCAAACCGCATTCTTCAGTCGATATGGGACGAAATTGAAAACAACTCATGTCGTTCCGTGTCATGCTCCAGCAAATCAACTTTCGATATCATCATTGAAAGGGAACCATTACTAAAACAAACACCAATGCAGTGTTGAGATGCCGCAGGCAGAAAGCTAAACTGTGCCACCATTGATCACCACGGGCAGGTAAATAAACCCTCAGAAAGAACGGATGCCGGCTGCTCAGAGGCCACGTATCTGGCACAGGCCAGCGAACACTCTAATTGAGCTCTCATGATGTTTTTTAACGCGGGCTTAATTTTCGACAACACCTCCCAGGCGGTGTAATTTGGCACGAACGCGAGGCACGCAGCTCGCTGGCCGACAACACGTCGGCGAGGAGCTCGGCTTTGGTCGGCTGCGGGCACTGGGTCTCCGGGGGGCCGCGATGGAGGAGACTCGACGCGGCGGCACTGCCACGCGGCACGAATGCGTCACAGACCGACACACCCAACGCCGCAGCACGCAAAAACAAATTGAAGGCGAGGCCGTCAATTTTCGGGGTGCGGAACCAGGCGACGTGTGTGGAGACCGGCACCGATCATTTATTACCGCCCCCTGAATCCCACGATGTCAATGCGACGAAACGAAGCGTAACGATCCATTCACGCGTCAGTTAACTTCGATTCGAGTGCGCTGTGTTCTGTTTTAAAATATGTACTAAACAAGCACGGGCAGCAGTCCAGCTCTCCGACGTACAGCGTCCAACCGAATCACAAAGCCGCGGCTTCCGTCCATACCAAATCATGCGGCGGCGTCGCAAGACCCACTCCAGCCTCACCGTCGGGCGATGAGGGCGGCCGTCCCTGCCCAGCGGGCGCGCATCGTCACGACTCTGCCTACCTGTACCTGCACGAGTGGTGGTCCCTCCCAGTACTCGTACACCGGCTCCTCCTCTGCCTGCACGGCCCGGCTGCTGGTGTGCGAGCGGCGGGTGGGGCGCGGCGCTGCCTCGGCCCCGGTGCGCTCCGCCCGCGCCCTCAGCACCGCCCACACAGCCGCTGCCGCCGCGCGCGCTGCCGCCGCCGCCGCCAGCAGGGCGAGCACGACCCAGCGAAGCCCGAGCACGAGCGAGGCCACGTCCGGAGCGGCCATCGCGGCGGCGGCGCGACGTAGGGCACGCAGCGTGCGGCGCCAGGCGGGCGCGGCCGCCAGCTGCTCCAGGCCGGGTCGGCAGCGGGCGAGCGCACGCCCGATTTCTGGACGATACCAGTACAGGGCAGACGCCAACGTCACTGCCGCGGCCGCCATAGCGCCGCCGCTGGGCCCGTCCCGCGCCCGCGGCCGCCGGCGACACTCTGCACCGGCTGCCGCCACCGACTACAGTCAGGCGGGCGGGCGCTATTTTTGTGAGGGCGTGCCGAACGTCGGGCGGAGTCGGAGCGCGAGCTCACTGCGATCGCGCACTCAGGTCTGGCTGAGTCACGGCCAGCGACTGAGAGTCACGGGGCTTCACGCGGGACCGGAGCCATACGTCACGGCGCGCATGCGTCACCGACGGCGCCATCGCGCCACCGTCGCTGTCGCCGCACACGCGATGCCGGCCCAGCAAGGTCGACTGACGGGACCACCGCCCGCAGCGACATCGACGGGAACGGATCCACAGCCACCCATAACGTGGCAGATGGCGGTCATGTGTTCGGGCGCAGCCGGCCGGCTGTGGACAGCGCGGGCGGCCCGACCGGCCGCCAGTGGCGACCACGGGCGCGGCTGCGGGCCGCGCGGCGCTCGACCGTCTCCGCCAACGGGTGCCGGTCGCCCGGCTGCGGTCGGTCGCCCGGACGCCGGCTTGGGAGAGTCACGCAGCGTTGGAACGACTTCAGACGCGGTGACAAACGGCTGGCGCAGAGGCGGGTGGCCGCCGGCCGTGACGCGGGCGCGGCCGGCGGCCACCCGCCGGAACCGGCGCCGCCACGCAGCGCGGAACCGGGTAGCCCGGCGCCGGCAACACGGTGCCGGCCCTGGTCCGACGCCCGGCGCCGGCAACACGGCGCTGGCCCTGGTCCGGCGTCCGGCGCCGGCAACACGGCGCTGGCCCGGCCCGGCGTCCGACGCCCGGCGCCGCTCACAATGTTCGGCTTTTTATCAGCGGCATCGTTCGTACAACCGATTGTACGCGTGAACGTACCCGGACGTGACTGGTCGCGTCACGCAGATAGAGGCTGGCCACGCGTCGCGAACACTCGACCACACGCCAAAGAGGCCCACCTGAGGCATTAATAGCCGTGCCATGTTATACCGCACTGCATCAGCGCACGGGGGCGCGGCGGCAACAGACGGGTCACAGGGGTCGTGATGACGTCACCAACCCCAACCCGGGTGCTGCTGGCCGGGCCGCACCACAACACGCACACACCCCTTCCTAATCAGACCTCCGGGAAGCACAGGCGGCGTCGCGGAGTTTCGGAGGCGGGAGCGCCGCCGCCATAACGCCTCAACGCGACCACTAACTGAAAAACCTCATCCCAAGATGCCTAAAGCTTTGTCTGCAAACCAACAAGAACGCAACTGACGTTTCAACAGCCTTGGTTAGCATGTTCTGTTACACAGCACGCCCGACGGCAGCTGCAGGTAAGACGCGTTGGACCGCCACTCCAGAGCGCTGACGTGGGCTACTGCAATCCTGGCCGCCCAAGCACAATATATCTGTATGAGCCTAACTGGTACTTTGCGAAAAATAGCCATGAGAGACTGGCCACCTTGCGTAATGACTAACGTCATTAGGCTCCTTCCGGGCAGGAAATGAACCAGTGTGAGCTGGTTCAAAATTCACGCGAAATGACGTACAACTCGCTGGCGGTCGACCTGCCGGCGGGTTGTATGGCTTTCTCAGGCCTCTCAGCCAGTGCGTCCACCAAGGTACTTGTGATTGCTTCCCATGGCTCAGCAGAACACGCAGATGATGGCAGCCGGCGGCGGTGCGACACCGGACGCTGTCCGGCCTGTGCGTCCGGCTAATTGGACCCCCGCCTCAGCCGGAGACACCACGAACCTCTCTTGGAGACAATGGCCAGCGACAACACAGAAGCGGCGAAGGAAACAGACGGCGAACACTTTACACCAGTGGTATACAAACCAAGCGACGAGGTCCACTTCCGGACGAGGGCCACTGGCCGCACGGGACGGACCGCAGGGGGAGGGGACGCTGCCGATCCGTCTCAGGCCCTGCTGATGGCCACCGACCACCACCCAGCACAAACACTGGAAAACTCAGCCTTTCCACCGCTCCTCAGCTAAGGACCTTTGCGTTCTGATTACGGAGGGCAGCAGTAATCAGCAATTTAGTGACCTGATCAAATTTAGATATCGCGTTAGAAAGCGACGTTGTTTTTCGGTGCCGTGGCAAAGCCAGCCGTCGCTCTCCGGCGACGCGATATCAGACGGTCATTATGGAGAAAGGAGAAACCAAAGCCGCTGCAAAGTGCGCTCCACGCGTCTGTGTTTGGCGTGCCGGGCGCGGCCGGAACCCTATCTCCAGCCGCATCTAATTTGTCAGCGGCACCGGTCGTCTGAGCCGTCCAAACAGTCGGGCTGCGGGGCTGGTGACGGCGGCGCGGCGGCGTGTGGCGCCCGAGAGGTGAGGCAGACCAGGGTCGCGATCAGGGCGCGTCGATCCGGCGAGACCGCGCGCGCGGCCGCCCCAACACACAGACCGTGGTCGGACGGGTGGACGGCTCGTGGCCAGGTATCGCCAACTGAACATTGGCCCGTCAGACGAGCCGCGATAGTCACGGACAGGCGTTCCGCGGCCGACAAGGGAGTTCATGGCTGGATAAACAGACCGTGGCCACAGCGAACAGTCTGTGATCTGACCGCACAGACCGCAGTTCAGGCGGGTACGCCGCGGTCCGAAAGGCCAGACCGCGGCCCGACCAGCCGTGTGGTGATCCTCCGAAAAGGTCAACTGAGGTGGTCCCGTCAGAGAGGCTGAGGGTGGCGTGGACGCCCCGGCAGCCGCCGCCTGGCGCGGCCAGTGGCGCGACTTTGGCGATTCAGCACGCCGCCACGTGCTGGCCGCGGCCCGGCGCCGCCCGAAGGCCGGCTGGCCAACATATGGGACAGCGGCGCCCGGCGCGCGCCCGCCCGATACCATCACCGCCGCACAGTACGGTGCGACGCATCTGATGCCGCCGCGCACGCCGGCTGAATGCCCCGACCGAGGCCGCGCCGGCCCATAAAGACGTCGTGGGACCATCCCCGGACTGCACCGTTTTTGTGTCGGACGCCTGTTTACGTTCGAGCGCGTCGCGCACGCTGGCGTTTCGACACATGTGGCTCATTAGGCCGCTTGTCCAAGTGGAAGACGGGTCTTCATTTGCCGGGCCTGGACATGGCGCAACGACGAGGCACAGGCCCGGTACGGTCGCGGCCACGAAGTCACAAAGCGTGGACAAGCGTGACGTCAGTTGCCGCCAGGGCCAACAGGCGTTCCACATTTCAGGCCGGCCGCGGACACCGGATTGTGGGCCGTATTCGTGGGCGGTGCCCGGCAGAAGCTCCCATTCGCCGGGCGGCTGGGGCCGGCCGGTGCTCACCTTTGCGCCGCGGGCGGCGTGCGCTGTCTCGGCCGGGTCGGCGCAGCTGCCGTGGCTGCTGCGGCTGCTCTGGGTGCTGGTGCTGGCCGTGGTGCGGTCGGAGGCGGACGAGGAGCGGCGGGACGGACCGCGGCCACCGGGCCGGCCCGGCGGCGAGCCGCGCGGTGGCCGCGCTGTCGCAGAGTCCGGCTGCAGCGCCTCCGGCACGCGCCACAGCGTGGGTCCGGCCCGGTAGCCGCGCTCATGCTTCTCGGGCACCTTGGGGTCGGCCGGCGGCTGCGGCGCGGCCGCCCGGCTCATCTGTCGCTCGTAGTAGGACATGACGGCCTGCTTCTGGATGGCCTTGAGCGCGGTCGGGTGGTGGCCAGGCCGGCGGCGCGGCTCGGCCTCGGCCGGCAGCGGGCCGCGATACCGCTCAGAGCTGGCGGAACGAGCTGACGAGCGCGGCCGCGCTCGCTCCGCCGCCGCTGCCGCCTGCTCCTGGCCGCGGCCCGCGCGCACCGCCGCCCCGGTGCCCTCATCGCCGGCAGACGGCGGCGACGCGTCGGCCTCGGGACGCGCGCCGCGCCACGACCACTTGTCGGCCAGCAGATTCGGTACCGACTTGGAGTGGAGGTCGCGGCGCGACTCGCGCGACTGACTCTCCAGAGCCTTGATGCGGTCGGTGACGGACGGTGGCTTGCTGTAGTCGATGGCGGGCGAGCGGGATGACTTAGGCGAGCCGCGCGCGTCCACCGTGTCCTGCTCGCGCCCCGCCAGCATCGTCTCGTCCATGCTCTTGGCCAGCTTGAACTCGGGCCGGTGGCGGGCGGCAGTTGGCACGTTCTCCGGGAGCAGGCGCTGCGGCGGCCTGACGCGCGAGCTGTGCGCGATCTGGGCATCCGGCTGAGGATCGGAGCGGCTGGTGGCCGAGCTCACCACGCTGATGTCGCTGAACGATCCGTACAGCCGCATCGTTTCGCCAGAGCTGTTGCTGCTGCTGTAAGTGACAACGGTGGCGACACTGTCGCGGCCGCTACGCGGCTGGCCCTCGGCTTCGGCGCGCTCGCCGCTCCACGCCGGCTCGGCCGCGTCGCCGTCCTCCACGGGCGACATCACGATGTCGCGGCGCAGCTGGTCCAGGAATGGTGTGCACAGACTGCGTGGTCCCAGATCCTCTGGAAACGCCTCCTGCCGACGGAACTTGTCGTCGTAGTCGCGCTCCGGCGGACTCGGCACCGTGTAGTCCTTGTCACCCGGCTCGCGGCCGTCTCGGTCGATCACTGGAAACTTGTCGTCGCGCGGCGACTCGGACTTCTCGCGCACGTCCGGCGCCAGGAACGACTCGGGACCAATCCGCTCGCACTTCTCCATCACCGTGTTCAGCTGCTGCTGGAACGTGGCGCTCAGCGACTTCTTGGGCAGCGGCCGCGTATAGCCGGCGGCGGCGGCACGGTCCGACGGGTACTCGGTGTGGTCTGTCCACGACTTGGACCGGTAGCTGCCGCCGGAGAGCGGGCCCGAGTCGGGCTCGGCTGCCGCCGGCACCGGCCACGACGGATACTTCTCGTGGCCGGCCCCGTAGCGGATGTGCGTCAGGCTGGCCGGGTCACGCTCGGGTACGTCCGTCGCCAGCGCACGGTCAATGTCTTCCAGGTCGTACGTGAGCGACTCGCCGTCGGGCAGGCTGGCAGTGTCGGACGCCGCGTCCGACGAGGCAGGCAGCGGCGGCGGCGGCGGCGGAGGGGGCGGCGGCGGCGGCGGCGGCGGCTCGGCCGGCAGCGAGTCGTGCGACGACGCTGGCCGGAACTCGACCGCGGCTCCGTAGCCAACGGCGCGGGCGTCGGCCGGGCCGCGGGCCGCCTCCTTGCCGTAGAACAGACCCTGGTAGGAGGCGTGCGAGCGGCCGTCCTCGTCCGAGTGGCCGGAGAGGGAGGACCCCTGGCGGCCGTGCAGCGTCAGCGTCTGGTCCGAGCCGCCGGCCAGCGCCGTCCGCTGGCGCGAGTGCAGCTGGTACGAGGACGAGCGCAGGTGATTGGCGTACGCCTGCCGCTCGCGCTCCTCGTCCCACATGGCCGACGCCGTGCCAGCTGCGTAGTTGTACACCATGCCGGCAGGCGTCACCGCATGCTGCGTCAGCGAAGGCGTCGACTGTGAGTACGTGAGTGGCAGCTCCGAGGCGCCGCGGCTCGCCGAGGGCGCCGGCTGCTCACCCGCTGCCGGCGACCGCACCCGACCGCTGCTGCTGCAACAAGGCGCCGACGAATTAGGTCACGGCGCTATCATGGCATCAATGCTGGGCGCAGGTAATTATCGCATTCAAATGAGTCGACACACCACACTGACCCGGCGCCGCTGGTCGGTTTGATAGGCACATTCGGCTGAGAGAGATCAATTGGCCGGGTCGAGGGACCGACGCAAAACCATCGGCAGGCCGCCTCCACATTAGCCTCGATACAGCGGTCGCGTGACGTGGTGCATACACCACGAAACAATGGAGTCATTGAGACACCACACACGCACACATCTATCTCGTCAAGGATCCGGCGCCACAAAGCGCGAGCCATGACATCGTGCAATATGCCTTGTGCACCGTTAAAACAAACGTCGCCGACCCCGCGCCCGTTACCCAACGCTACAGATCGCCCCCTGCGAGTGGCGCGCAATTACAGACGTCCTAACCACGCGCAAGGTCGCCAGGGTTGTGTGACTCTCTCATGGTTAGTGCAAATTATTTGCCTCTCAGCAACGGAGCCGGGCTGAAACGCAAGCGGAAGTGAGCACCAGACGGCAACCGGGTGGACTCAGTCGGCGCCAACCCCATGACGCAAACAAGCCCCGTCATCAGCGAATGGGTGCAGCAGGTCACGCACAGGTCCGCCGTAAGAGTGGCGGGGTGGCTTCACATGACGCCGAGTCGCCTTGGAGCGTGCGATCGGCCAGCGGATGGGACGCCACGTCCTCGTGGCGTGGGTGGAAGATCGCCAAGATACAAGTTTGCCAGATCGCCAGATAGCTGCGGCCAGTTTCGCTTTTTCAATAATCCGGCTCATACAAGGATAGCATCTGATGAGTCAAACACTGGACAATCGCAGCGCAACACAACCGGCTCGTCAGCGCCGTGTGGGAACGTCGCGTCGCCCCCGGTCCCACGTGTCGCAACAGACGGACGGGCCATCCACGGCCCCCAGTGGCCGACGCTGCGCCCACCAAAAACGCCACCATAAATACAGGCTAACCAGGGGACACCGTTGGTGTTGACACCTGGGGGATGGAGCTCGCGCCCACCCCTTCACGGCCGACCGCCGACGCACCATGCTTCACCGATAAAAAATGATAATGGCACGGCGCCGGCGGCGGCGGCTGCGGCGGCGGCCGACGTGCGGCGAGCCGGCGCGGCCTCTTTTTACGGCCGGCTGTGCCAATGACCGTCGGCCGAGAGATGGGCAGCGGCCCGGTCCAGGCCCCGCACCCCTGGCCTAGGCCGGCCGCGGCAGCGTTCCGACCGCCACTCAGCCACCACCTCAGCCGATTACTGCACGTGCGAGCGTGCACATTAAGCCCATGGTCCGCCGAGCCCAGCCGGGCCACATCAACGGCCGGGCCGCTGCCCATCGGGCGACTTGCGGCTATATGGGCGGGTCAGGGAGGGTTAGCCGACACGCGCGCGCAGTTCCAGCCCTAAAGCTGGCGAGCGGCACGCCACGGCTGATGCAAGAGCGGCGGCGAACCGGGCGGAGCCCAGCTCCGGCCCAGAGAGGCGCCCCCATGACGCACGGCCGGCCACTCGGCGCCACTCTAATTGCGGAACTCTCCGATGCATGAATTTATGAATTAACCGATGCTCCAAACAACAATGGAAAATAACGAACAGGGCGAGAGTTACTGGCGGCGTCCGTCCGACAAAAAGAGTGAGGCATGAGGTGGAAAGTCAACAATTCAGGGGAAGCCCGGCCGCTGCATTGAGCAGACGCATTCCTCGGTGGTGGAAGAGATGGGCTGCCGCCACGCGGCAGGCAGACGTAACCCAGCGGTGAGACCAGCCGACCACGGGTGGACCGGCCAGACGCCAAAGATCCGGCCCGCTGGAGGCCGGGCGCCAGAGATCCAGCCCCCGGCAGGCCGGACGTCAGAGATCCAGCCCCCGGCAGGCGGGACGTCAGAGATCCGGCCTCCAGCAGGCCGGACGTCAGAGATCCAGCCCCCGGCAGGCCGGACGTCAGAGATCCGGCCCCCGGCAGGCCGGACGTCAGAGATCCGGCCTCCAGCCGGCTACACGGCCGGCCGGTCAGGGGACGCGAGCCCCGGAGAAATCGGCCGCCCAGCGGGCACCGGCCCACCGTATGCAAATGCTTCCAACTGACACATATTTGAGTGTCACCCTCCTGGCGTCTGGCTAAATGGAGACGGGAGATGGCACAGGCGGGGCGCCGTCCGCCGCCGCTGGACAAACACGGCGCCATCGGTTAGCGTGCCGGCGGGCCGAGCCGCTGTGAACGGTCGGAATGTGGCGCCGCCGGATCTGGAGAGCGGACTGGCACGGCCCCTGACCGGGCCGGCGCCGAGCGCCACTCCCTTCCTCGGCGTTCGCCACGGCAGCGCTCCTGGCTGATGGCCGGGCGATAGTGCCTGCTCAGCGCGCCGGCGCCACACAGATGACCGGCCGGCGGCGCGGCGGTGGCGGCGGCTGCTGGCACCATTATGCAACCTGGTCATCGGCTGCACGCGCGTCCAGCGGGTTGGCGTCAGATGGCGGCGCTGCCGGTGATCGAGCCGGAGCGGCGGCCCTCGCGGCCGGCAGGCGACCGCGCTGTCGGCGGCAGCCAGCGGCGTCGCCAGATGCACCACTCGGCAGCCGTGAGAGGTGGTCGGACCGGCGGGCCGGGGCCGGCCGGCGCCAGTCGAGGGTGTGCCGGAATGTCCGCCTCGGCCCCCAGCCCGGCCGGACCAGGCCCGGGCCACCGCTGCGCCCGTCCGGCAGGTCTCGGCTTGATGACGGCGCTACGCCGCGCAACTCTACCTCCAATCATAAACACGGCTATCGCGCCCACCGCGCTTCCGTGCCACCCGACGCTTCCGGGCCGCTGATGCCGCTGACGCCGACAGACCCCGGCAGACTTTGATAGACTTCGGTGGAGAGGCGGCCACCGCCCTCAGTCGAGCAATGCCACGTCGCGAAACGCGCTGATTGCTTGCACTCGCGGGACGTGAACATAGCACGATGCGGACGGTGCGAAACCAAACACTCGCCTTCGCATTCCGCTGCATAATGCTGTTCGTGCCCCTTCCCGATAGGTCCGAAGGGCTTTTTCATTGCCGCCTCGACCGGGAAGTCACGCGCTCTTCGGCCACATCCGACCAGGTGCCTTCAATAGAAGCCGGATGGGAGGCCCACCGCGATCGCCGTCAATACCATACCGCGAGTGCCGGCACCGATCACAGGACGTGCCGCACCGAGGAGGTGTCATCCGCCGAACGCATTCCAATCAGCGGTCACGGCGGCCGGGCCGCGCTCGGAGCGCGGCGCGCCGCCGCTTCCGTTCCGCAGCCGGCCGCTAATCCGGTAATGGGCGGCCGACGGCGGTGCGTGACCGTGTGACCGCGGCGCCGACCAGCGCCAACCGGCACCGACCGGCACCAACCGGCGCCGACCGGCACCAACCGGCGCCGAGGCCCGACCAGCGCCGACTGGTACCGACAGGCGCCGAGGCCCGACCAGCGCCGACTGGTACCGACAGGCGCCGTGGCCCGACCACCGCAGACCGGTACTGCGGCCCGACCAGCGTCGACCGGCGTCCGGGGCGCCACCAGCGCCGACCGGCACCGCCCGGCGCCGAGGCCCGACCAGCGCCGACCGGCACCGACAGCCGCCGTGGCCCGACCAGCGCGCACGTACGCGGCAGCGTGGCCGCGTGCGCCGCCTCCCAGACGCCGGCAGGGTCAGGTGGCCTGGCAGGAATCGGCTGCGGATGACCCTGACGGCCCCGCCTGGGCGGCCGGGCGGCGCGTGCAGTGGGGAGATTCGGCCAGTTCTTCCCGGTGGCGTCGATGATGGCTGATGGTGGCCAGGACTGTCCGGCAGGCGCCCGGCCACGGCCAGGAGCCAGGACTGTCCGGCAGGCGCCCGGCCACGGCCAGGGGCCAGGACTGTCCGGCAGGCGCCCGGCCACGGCCAGGGGCCAGGACTGTCCGGCAGGCGCCCGGCCACGGCCAGGGGACACTCCTGACTGAACTCAGCGGGCCCGACACTGACCGTCCCTATGCATCCAACATGCCTAGAGTCCCAGCCTCACGTGCCAAGCACGCCCTCTCCGCCGGTGCCAAACACGTACGTGAACCTGCACAGAACACGTCCCGTCCCCTTCCAACGCCGCCGGCAAATCCCAACCGGCCAGCGTAAGGCAGACACTGCGCCGTATTGCCGTGTACCTAAAACGCCATGTCTCTGCACATGGTCACGAGACAGGGCGTCAAAGCCCAGTCCACGCCCCCGCACCGAATACGCCCGGTCGTGCCGCTCTGGCGGGGCGTGTGGCCCTCTCACTCGTCCTTGTCCGGTGCACAGCGCACGGTGCACGCGGAGCGGCGCCACCGCGGCCGGCACGCCTGGCGAGGCCGGCCGGCCGGCGGCACAGCACAGCGCAGCACAGGTCTGCCCGCAGACCGCGTCTCCTCGACGCTGGCCGACAGCTACAGACGGGCACCGCGCCCGGGTGGGCGACGCTGAAAGGCGGACCAGAGGCTGCGGAACAGCGGTCGGCTCCCGGCGTGCCCGATGTGATAACCAGCCGCGCCAGGATCACCGGCTGGGCCGTGTGGCCTAGCATCACGGCCACGGATACGTCACAAGGGCGTCAGAGCGCAGCGAGGCCTCTGGAGGTCACAAGACCGGCCAACGACAGCGACACGGGGCATCAGTAATGCACGGCCAGCGAGTCGGTACAGTCGACGGCCGCCGCCAGCGAACTCACGCCAAGCAGCGGGTCAGCTCCGGCGTCACAATTCCAGCTGCTGCAGCTGCAGCCGTTCTTGGCACGGTGGGCGACCGCACTAGCACCACGTCTCGCTGACGCCTCCACCGGCCCCGTCTGCCACCGTCTGCTCTTTGCGACGCGTCTTTGTCGGGCGCTGACCGGCGCCTCGAGCGTGGAGCGACCGGCCGCGCGCGCTCCACCACCACCGGCCCCGTGCGGACTACACGGGCGGACCTGACAGGCAACCATTGCCGGCAGCCGGCGGCTGCCT